CCCCCCCATTCCCCCCCCCCCCCCCCCCCTCCTCGCCCCTTCTATTCACCCTATAAATTATTACCCTACCTGAATTGTGCCCATAAAGCGAGCAATATCCGAGGATAGTAAATGGGGTTGGGGTTGCGATGAAACCGGAAATTACAAAACCCCAAGAGATTTTATTCAGGTTTCCTTCGTGAAATCCTGTATTCATTTTTTTTTTTATATATCGATAATATTCATCCCCACCCACGGTAAGTGACAACGTCAAAATTCGCCATCGTGTTAAATATATTCGTCGTAATATTATTGTTGAGATCGGAAACTAGGTTTTTACGAATTTTATAGAAATGGGCATATCCGAGTCTATACCCGAAGTCTACAAGCAGATGGGTTAGGTTTGAAGTTAATACCTATTGAGAAATTCAATTGAAATTTACATTCAATTTCAGGGAATCGTACCGTAACCTCAAAGCATTCAAACGCGTAATCCACCAAAGGAAACGTCCGCAGTCCGATTCGTGTATTCCGTATAAAAATGTATTATCGTAAAACGTAATTTCGTATTCGCGTACGAAAAGCAGATATAATTCCACAGTTAAAATACGCACGTCGAGGAAAACGAGAGTGAGTCATCCTGTGGGACCGTGTGGAAGAAGGATAAGAAGAAAGAATATAAAATATATATACATATATAACGTATAACCCACAGTTATTTTATATAATCCAGAAGTAAACAGACTCTTGCGTAGGGTCGTTTATCCGCTTCAAGAAGAAAAAAAACTTCATCCCTCAGGAATATGCTTGCCGTGGATATCCGAGTGCTGCAGCAGGAATTAATTAGTGCCAGTGGCGTTTCATATGAAAAGATGACAAATTGTCAGTTGCAGAGTATAATTAAAAAAAAAAAGATAATTGACAAGAAGAGAATACAGCTGGGTGACTCCGAAGTGTCTGTGAGACAAAGAGTCTGAACATGCAGAGGCCATTTTCCTTTTCAGATATATCAATTACGTCAATAGTGCAAAAATCTTGTAGTTCTTTATCCACGTGGAAATATGCACGTCTGTTTTTCTTATATTATTATTATACCTACAATAAGATATTGAATAACCTTCTATGACGTTCTATAGACCGGCTGAACAGCAGCGCCACCACGGCGCACATAACCTACCGAAGCGACGATGCAATTACTTACTGTAGTCAAAAGCCGGAAGTGAGGTAATATATTATTTCTATTTGACACAATCCAACCGGGTCCAGAATCCGTTTAGTCTGACAACACAGTACGTAACGACATTGTCACGATAAGGTCATTCATGTCCGGGTCAAATGTCATCCTGGGGCCAAGTACGTGTAGACGGGCAGCGGCACGTTCACGTGGATTACAGCTGGAGGGCGCCACCGGTTCGGCAAAGCACTAGACCCGAAGGATCGCTCGTTAAATAATAGCCAGTAGGGAAAGGCCGCACTCTGGTGGATGAAAACAGAACTAGAATTACCCATAGAAACCATATCGCTTGTGTAAACAATTTTGAGGTTACGTAAGCACACTTACTATTGAATATTCACGATCTTTGCTTGGCTACCCTCTCTCTCTCCTCTCACTCACTCTCTCTCTCTCTCTCTCTCTCTTCACGCTACTGGCAATTTCCTCCAAGCAACAGCGATCCAGGACAAAGAGCCCAGCAGCAATACCCTGATGGGAACTACGGCGTGCAGTGAAGGCAGCAGCCATGTTGCCTGCAGGGAATACCAACAGACGGTACGGACAAATATCATGGAAGTGAAGCTGGATCTACTTTGCCACTCTGACCTAGGCGATGAAGTAAGGAAAATTAGAAAGGTTGGGAAGGGAGAAACACATCCCCTAATGCTGATTACTATCCTATTCGATTCGTACAAAAGGCGAAAGGACTTCCTGGCTGCGGTAACGACTCGGGACGATCGGGAAGTCCTGGTGACTGGAACGGTTAAACAATGGCGTCCTTTCGAATTATACGAGAGGTACGGTCGACGTCGTCCCCAGAAGGCGGTATAGGCCGGAAGCGTATGACATGCTGACTTGGGTCATTCTTGTATCTACAGGAAATAGGAATGAGGAGTGAGTCGCGAATGACAAGAGCCTGGGGGCATGAGGGAAGTCGGAGAAGATGAGATAGGTGTACCACGTGACTCGAGCACTTCCTATTGGTCCGTATACAACTTGAACCGTCGACGCAAATGATGCACCCTGTACCTGCTGTTAGCTCCCTGAGACTTTTTTCTTTCGAATTATTCGCAGACTGGTAAGAATTACCGACAACATTGTTACGAGTGAGAAATAAAGAAAAGAGGAACTACAAGGAAAACGGAAGTCTCGGTGAAAGCTGAGAAAAGTTTCTTCCGGTTTTTGCTATGGGGAAGCACGGTTGAAAATTCTATAAAAAATTAAATTAAACGAATAGACTTCAAAGTGTGCGAGGAACACCCGGTATAACTGTACGTGTATCGAAAGAGGTAAGGTTAGGTCAGGTAGAGGTAAAGCTCAGTGCCAGGGAGGAATGAAGAAAAAATTGAAGTAAAGAGGCAGGTTAAGGAAAAGGAATAAACGAAATGAAAGAAAATAGTGAGAGGAGGGGGAAGTGGAAACTAGACAAGAAGGGTGGAGAAGAAGATTGCCAGAGGAGATGGGGCGTGGGAGGAGGGGGGGGGGAGAGGCAGGTGGATGAAATACCGACATACCCATTTACTGCATCCTTTTTCAGGCTGTACACCAAAGCGGTGGTTTAGTTATCAACAAGGCAGGACCGCCATGATAGAAAGGATGTAAGGGTGGAAGAAGCATCCCTTAATTAAATTCGCAAATAATACCTACACAGAGCCCTTACTTGCTATCTCCCTTTACCGTCCTTTCAGTCTCCGCCGAACCCCGCAAGTCCTTTGCGTTCGCTATTTCACTGGGGGAAATTTCAACAAGCGCCACGGCAGGGACGACGCTTCGCGTCCCGACGCCACCCTTCTCGAGCATCATCAAACGGAACAGATAAAAGAGGCCTGGGTGTACTGTAGAAACGTCGAACAACCCCTCCAACCCAACCCCGTTAGCCGTCCTTTCCATTCTGAAAATCAGCTTCCCTTGTGTGCCTCTAACGCATGTGGCGCCATCTCGCGTAGAAAAGCACAAGTCTAACCTAACCCAAACCCAAGTCACAAAAAGTTTCCTTCTCTTAAGCGGAATACCTTGTCAGTGTCCTAACACCCTCTCTGTACGAATAGGTCCCAACAAAGCTATTCTTATGTCTCCTTTTCTTCGTCCCGAACGGTGTCCTAACGTTTATTTCTTTGCCTAAAAGGAGAAGGAAAGAAAAAAAAGACTACCCCTTATCTCGTATTTCACAGAAACGCGCGCACACACACACCCCACTTCCGATCACTTTCCTTTCAGCCGAGTGCGTTGAAAAATTGCTTGGCGGAAGCTCCGACGGCAGACATGCATCTGTGGAAATATAAATATTTAAAAAAAAAATGGCGGATTCGACATGTAAAATTACGTCAACGCAAATGTACCGTCGTGTCCCATTATCCAGCGAGATCCTTCGAGCGGAGAAGAAGTTCAGGTAAATTCCGTGTACAAATGCGGCTTAGCTTTCCAGCTCTATGTCGAGCAGGTGAAAAAAAAGAGATAGACCAAATGCATAAAATTTCTATTCAATAAAATGTGTGCAGATGCACTTTAAATGGGATTGGAATCTCCGGGGATTCACCTGCAGGTTGCATTCAGTGTTACAAGAGAAATTTACGTGGATTTGCGTAACCATAGCGACGCGATGTTGGATTCTGAATCAGGACCATATACACTGTATATATATATATTTATATACTGCGCTCACGTCTGGAGCAACAAAAGTCCCATAAACTACGATTTACTTATGTTACATCGTACAGCCGGACAAGTATGGCCGGCCCCGATTGTTAGGGATGCCGGTGGCTTATCAAGATATTAGGGGTACGCGCAAAGGGGTAGTAACGTGGGGGTAGAAAAAAAATAACAATAACCAATCGATTCCGCGTTCAACCGATTTTTGTCTCTAGATTAAAAAAAAAAAAAAACTAAACCTAAGACCGTGGCAAAATTCGACCCTTGCAGGTCGATCAAGGATGCATAGCGATGAGACCGGTAGGAAGTTCCAACAGCCCTTATACGACGACAAGGGGTTTTGAATTGTTTATTCAATCCGCTGAGGTGCGAAAGGGGAGTACGGGGGGGATTAAGGGTGAAAAAACAAAGATAGGATACGGAATGAGTGCAGAGTAAAAATTTTCGAAATGAATATCAAAAAATTTATGGTGAAAAAAAAAAATATAAATAAACAGACTGTATTGAAGCAAGTTCACAAGTGTCGATCTTCATCGCTTTTTATGTACGTACGACGTGTCATCCCCTACTGTGACCATACACGCACCACAAATAGCTATATATAGATACCAGCGGCTTTACCGATACGCGGTAGGTAATAATCAATACGGTATATCCAGTAACGAAAAAAAAGGGGGGTTGCATAGGGGTTGTTACCAAGTCGGCGATTGTAACATAACCGATAGTCGCAGACTCCCTTTGACAGGAAGCAGGAACCCTTGAATCTTCTTTTTTTCATTCCACCGCCCTTAACGTAGCCCGAAGCAGCCACTGCTTTGAAGGTTGGCGCAAGCTCAAAAAAAATGGCCAGCTAACGAACAAAAGGAAAGACCGTTCGTTCGTCACCCCACAGGCTCGCGTCCACCCCTGACAGGGCGTAAGCTTGTAATATTTGTATATTATTTTTTGCAAGGTGCAAGAAACACCGTAAAAAAATTCAGCACCCTTCACACCGATAGAAATCCGACCGGCACGATAAAAGATTTATTTGGCCTCGATTAAAGCAACCCTTACGGTCCACGTGGCTTCCAAGAAACTCATCCCCTATATTATATTTACTTTTATCCACTACTCTACCCCGCGACCCACCCCCTTAACGACCGACGCATGCCAAGCGTAACGCACTGCGTGTACGCACCCACCCTTACCTTGGACTCGAGTCCTGGACATTAGGGGGATGATGAGAGAGGGGTAGATGCACGGGGGTAGCGTAAATACGTATTAGCAAAGCGGGATGAAAAGAGACTGCAGGAGCCGTAGACACGGAACAAGCCCATGAACCACTACCCTGCGCAGCGTCACGCATCTAGGGGTAGTTTTTTCTCTACGGAAAAATGCCACCGTGACGCAGGGGTTGCAAAGACTGGCCAAGAGCGGATAGAAAAACAGAAGGCAAAAAACGCTGAAAGTAAATGATCGCTTTTGCAGAAATCCACGCGTTGTCCTCGGTGGGTGAGAGGGGTTGATTGAAAACCAAAATTCATCCCCTAACGCCCACGATTAACCTACATGGTCAAACGTATCGAAGAAAAATCGTATTCAATTTACAAGTGAGCATTAGACCGTAATTACCTAACGTCCTGCCGAATTCGTCGCGTCGTTGAAAATACACGACGTCCGTTGAAATCGCGACGACGTATTCGGAATGGTGTACTGACCAATATTTACATTTGCGTTCCTAAAGACATCAAAGTCAGACCAGGCGACGGTATCTAATCTGTAAATATTAGTTCGCGCGTTTCTCGTGTACTCGGGTTCATGTTCGAACTTCTCTGCTCGTTTTACAGAAGGGTTGCGGAAAATACAGCCACCCTTCGAGGGTGCAAGACGTTGTAATAGATATTGATATTGCATCGGGGCACATCAATCACTTGGTACACAGCTACCCCTATCGCTACAGCGGTTTCCATCTTTTATCGGTTTTATCCATCTACGTATATACATATATGTGTGGCATGTATATTTTATATATACTGTATATAATATGTACGTATACATATGTAACTATTGTACATACGTACCAGCAATGTTATACGCGGTTTTTGCACTGGAAGAATGAGGTACATGCATGCATGTTTCATACGTACCACGAGGGGTTCGCGACCGCTGGCTTTGAATACGGACCCAAAATTTCGACGTTTATCAAACGTCCAATTAGTCCGCGATGGACGGCACCATAGAAACGCGGCCAGATAACAAATTAATGTCGTCGGCCGACATTAATACATAACGTTTCCGCGTCACGCGATATTCCTATCTGCAGTTTCGTTCGGTTAGTTTTTTTTTTTTTTTTTCGAATGCAACATCAAAATCTTTTCGCGTTTTCAATACCGTCGCATTTTACAGCGGAGCGACAACTGCCATAAATTTTGAAACGTCTTTAAAACGCCTCGAAACTATAATTACGTGTTTAACACATTCTATGTGTGATATTGTTAAGGAATTTCATGTGGTGGCCAATCGCATCTATAGATATTACATTTGTAAACTGTTACTACGGTTAACGACTACGCTATGAATATGCTTTTTTGCATTTAAAAAAAAAAGAGCGATTCATGAAAATCAGCCCGAATAATTCACGAACCGTGGTTAACTTGGCCATCACCGACCAGTGTTCAGTCGAAAAAAAAATGATAAATTTATAAAATATTAAGTGCGCAACAAGAGGTAAAAGAAGTGAGTAAAAGATCGGAGGAAAAGTGCGCCGGTTTCAGTTTCCATAAAAACCAGCCCTAAAATGCAAAGATAAAAATGTCCGATCGTCAAAACGCGTGAGCTATAAGCATCGAGAAAAGTTAGATAGAGGTTTGACAAGTGAGTAGACGTGAGTGGTATAACGAAAAACCGACAAAGCGTAAGCGGATGAAATTGAAAAAAAGAAAGAAAAGTTATCGCTACATGAAAATGGAGATTCGACATAAAGGTCCGCATGAAACAGGGAGAAAGTGAGTCGTTACGTCATCAAGTAAAGTCGGCGACGTTGCCTGTTCCTGTCATCTTAAATATAATACCGCATTTTCAATTTGCATTTCCAATAAGTTCGTTTTATGCTACACGCAGTATATCAGTTCAGCGACGGTATAACGGGTATTGGAAACGCGCCAGCTTTCCGTGCTCGATGATTTCACATTAAAGTTTCAATGTACCCTGGGTAACGTAGCGACGTTGCACCCTCCGGGGGTTCATCGGGTGGTTCGATAAAAGTCGAAAAAGCTTTTGATAAAGACCTAGTCAAGTACCAGACTATCTTCAACCCCTATATTAAGATGCTTATCCTTATGAAATGCTTCCCTTAGTTCCGCAATCTCATACTATTGACCTCTAGATAGTAAAGGCCTTGACTTCACCATGGTCCATCCGGTGGGATGTAAATTAGCAGCCGGTACCTGAAGTCCATTGGGAGATACGCCTAAGATGGTATATCCTGGAATATAGGAAGAGAGGATATCAAGAATTAGGGAATAAGGGAGATAAATCTATTATGGATGTCAAACCTGAGTAGGAGATGATAAAGACTGAATGAGAGGGGGCGAAAGAGAACTTCCTTTTAATTACGAATCCTACCTCGGCAGGTTGAGTAGGATTCATTGGTACTTAATTCAGAATGTAACTCAAGATGCTTTTCCTGTACCAATTTTCATCGGACTCTGAATCTTCAAGATATTTCTTATAAGAAGGGACCAGGAATATTTTTAAGCCCCTCGACAAGTCCTTCTTCTGGAACGAGAATGACGATAAGGATAAGGCTGACGATGAATCTGATAAAGTGATTAGCGAATTTAGAAGAATCCCTTGACACTTCATCATTAAAAAATATGTAGCCGCTACTCTGATCAGACGTATGAGATGCGAATGGATGGTTTTGTTAAATAACCATTGGCCATCTTAAGAGCGCAGTCCTGAATAAATCTTCTGTGGAAGAGAGAAAATTTCTGTAGAAATCTTCTTTGTTTAGAATGTTTGAATCTTGTTAATTGTACGAGGGATTGAATTGTATTTCGCTTAGTTATATTTTATAAAAACAATCACAGGGTAACTTACGTTTCTTGATGCGTCGCGACGTATCCTGGACGCGATAATCCTTCGGTATTGTGATAAACGATAAGATTCACTGTACAACACTGATCCACAAATAACGACGCTTCACTCTTGATGAATATACGAGCACTGTGATATCGAATCGTGATTAATTACAAGTAATCCCGACAAATGAAAATCGCAATGATATTCGCTTAATGTAAATAGAAGTGAACTGCGATACCTGGACAATCACACTCTGGTGATACTTCAGGAGTCAGCGTTTATCCTCCTTTAATAGTGATACTGATAAAACCATCATGAATACTTTTTATTGACGTCTAGCTCGAAGAAGCGAATGCGTCGCGATGCTTTCTCGTATTGGATTCCACAATGATGATCCAGCAAGCAACCAACATCGACTTGCTTGATAGAGAACCTCGTGTTCCCTAGGTGTCCAGGGTGTTCTCATGGTAGAGACTCCGGCATAACAAAATGTTTTTGTGAACGAAAAAGATTTTTTAAATTTCTAAAAAATACTAGACACCTGTAATTCCGATTTTGCATATTTCCTGCTTGACGTCGTACAACACTCCGTTCGTATTTTACACCGAGACGTCTGACGTCGCCATCTGCGTCCTGATCCGTCTTATATTTTTATTTATTGCACTTTTATTGACTATCACAATCCGTTTCGTGTCACATCCCAGTGCCATTACTCAGTTGATTCTTGTCTCAGGATACGTGTCTGTATCGTTACGTGTTCTTTGTTCCTGGCGACAAACAATTAAGTTGCATTCACAACGTAGATCTACGCGACATGTGGTACATAGATCGTCGAGAAACGAGGTCGATGACACTTGAAAAATAAGCCCCTTTCGTTTAGCAGCACTTATCCCACGGCACTCGCATTTACAACGTAATCGCTGACGACGAAATCCGACGCGCATTGAAAACCGATTATCGAACTACAGAAGTAAATAAAGAAGAAGGGACAAGCACTACGGATGATCCGTATATAATAATTGATCACTGTGTACAATATTGGCACTGATGAAAACAGCCTACGTGTCTTCCTTCCGAATAACGACGCCCAACTACAGCGACCAGCTGACTGCGGAGCCAGCTTAACACTCAAGGGGTGGAAAGATATTCATCTCTGTAAAGTGCTGATTAACAGCTTATAGAAATTCCCGAATTTGTTCACTAAACACTGGATCGAAGTAGCACAATATATCAAAATAAAATATAACACGTTATAAGATAAAAGCTGATCCTTTTCACTGGTGAAAATCGTCAATGTGCAACGAAGAGCCAAATAACCTCGCGCACCCAAAATGGTGGCCGACACTCCCGTGTTCCGTTTTACTAGCAACTCGCGAGGTCACTGTCAACAAACTAAAGATGACTCTGGACTTTTACAAAACTTAAATACGTTCCATGTAGTTCTGAGAGTCACCAGGAATCAATGGAACGTTTATTAAATTCCCCGGAAGCACCGTTTGCCACACAACAACACTGTGTACCGATGGTTAATGGTCACGGGATGTTTGATATCCAGCCACACGCCTCCCTGTAGACGTTGTACAGGTCTCAACGAGTCCTCAGTAATTCCAGTGCACGTGTATGGATTTAATTTGGATTGTCCAGAGTGTCCTGATAAACGCGAAAACCGCGAACACCGCTCGTTGACAACTCGAAAGCATTCCAACGGCAGGGTGGACCGCGACGAACGGCGCGACATCTACCGTTCAATGCTGGCAACACACTAGCGCCATGGCCGTGCCACCGCCTCCTCACGTCAATAATATACTTTCTACCCTTATGAACTCGCAAATGTATCTAATTACGATAAACGCGCGAGAACACCACATTCCTCGCACGCACCGATTCCAATCATCCCTCCATTGCGATCGTGCGGATAAACCCTTTAATCAGCGATTGGCACTATACGCGAACCGTGATCACGACCGGATAATCCACCAAGCTCGCCAGGCGGCTGCGCGATTTCGACTGAACGCAACCCCGCACGAGAGCCGTCGCGGCTGCCCGAAGATAAACGAATTTCGCCGAGTATTTCCGAAGGTAAAGGGAGGTGGATGTCCTTGGAGCTTTCATGGAACGAAGCTTTCGGCGATCGATCCGCCATCTATTGAGAGGTGCAAGTACTTCGTACCAGTAGAGGAAACTATCTTTGATACGATCGAAGGTTATCCGTTTTAAAGACTAGGATTATCTTGCGATCTTCTTGCTTCTTTAAGATTCTGAAAGAGGGATTTTGCGAAAGAAAACTTTAATGGTTTAGATTAGTCGCCTTATCGTTGTTAGCGATACAGTTTAAGAAGGATTATAAATCAGATATTTTTATTGGTGCGGTGTCCTTTTTTACGTATACGCTGTATTACGGTCGATGACCTTTTACATATTTTTTTCTTGCTTTATTTTTCCCCGTCGCCCTTTTACGTAATAATACACCCCTGTGATGTTTCACGCCCCAATCCACCGTATCAGCTCGTTTCTTTTTCACTGGAGACCGACGTGACAGAAGGGAATTGTAAATTCGGTTACCGACAATCAAACGTGCTTTCCTTCGTTAGACACGTTTAGGGGACGGGAGGAGGATTAAGGAAGAAAACATTGAACTAACCGCAAAAAAAGGATGGACTTTAGCAGGATATAATTTTCCATCTTTTTCATTCCCAGGTACCCAGGCGCCTCGTTAATAGATACTTAAATTCGTTGAAGCGTCAACTACTTGCATATTTTTTTCCATGATCATTGTTAACCCCCAAAAAAACTTATATGTAAAAACTATGCCAAGTACAGGAGTGCTGTAAATTCCCCTAACAATAATTATTGAAATCATATTATCAATGCCAAGTACAAAGGTCACTACATATCTGCGTATTATATGATCTAGCACTAGCTCATCATTTTAATTATATTTTCAAAATTTTCTAGAATGTTTTCTCTACTCTTTTATATTATTACTGCCTTTCGTATTTAACACTGATTTAATGGTCATTCAAGAATTAAGAAAACTGTAGGTGATTCCTTATCGAGTACTACTTGGTGGGTCAATGCCAGGAATTTCAAAGTACTTACTTTGAACGTACCAATAGTATTCTAAACTATATATTTGTTATTAGGCTTTTACCGTGGTTATTATTGACGAGTTATTGCTAATATACTCTATATAGAAAGTTAACGTTGGTCTTCAGTTTTAAGACTTGCATAATGAACGCAAATTTATATCAAATAAATCACGGACCCGCCAAACAGTACTCGACAAGGAATCACCTAAAGTTTTATTAATTATTAAATAACCATTAAATCAAAATTAAATATGAGAAGCAGACGTTATAGAAAATTTTGAAAATACAATTAAAATGATGGGCTAGTGCTAGATCATATAATAAGCCGATACGTAGCGACTTATGTACTTGGCATTAATAATATGATTTCAGTTATACGATTCGCTTCGTCACCATGGCTGTAGCACCGGTTGTCTGTACTTGGCGCGAAATTCGAACGAGTCTTTGGATCAGATTCGATGGAACGGAGTTATTAAAGAAAAGTTATCGACCCTTCTGAAAGTATTAATAAATATTCGTCACAGCGGTAAGTGAAAACAAATTATTGTTTCATTGGACATAAATATTTTTTCGTTTTTGTAAATTTTTTAAAAATTCTTCTCACATATCGGCGTTTTTTAGCGTGCTCCAAACTATTTTCAGCAATTCCAAAGCCAAAAGCCTAAATAGTCAACCGAATCGACTGGTCGTTTCATAAGTACGTAATTCGGCATCAGATCTCAGGTCGGAGGGGTCTTTTCGTTTCCAAGTGCCAGCACTCTTTGATTTGCTTTTAGCATTGTGCATCTTCAATTCCCCAGCTTTCGTTCCTTCCGCTTCTCTCTTTCTCTTCTTCTCTGTGAGACTTTTTCATTTCTACAAATAATACCAGCATCTAATATTTGACCTGATTGAATATCTTTTTCAATGCCGAACGTTACTGTACATATTTTAGGACTCAAAAGAATCTTCTCATATCCATATACTACACATATTCATATATATATACATATATGTATATACCCATATAAACTTCCTGGTGTTTTTTTAACAGGCATCCTATGCGCCCATGGATTTTCTAGTTTTGGCATTTTCAAGGAATTGAAGTTTTGCAATTTTTTTGTCTCCTTTGAAAATCCATTTTCTTTTATACCGTATTCTGAGACAACGGCAGATCCTTCCAGATCCGCACAGTCGTGTATTTTATCTTTGACCAATTCATCCAAATACTCCTGAGATGAATGACTGGATGATGCATTATCCGACGTTAATAGATCATTTAGGATTTTTCCACTACAAAAAAAGAAACCCACAAAGATCACTATCATATATATATATATATATATATATATATATATCATAACACCTACGTCAAACGTTCTGGAGGACATATCCAAGTCTGCTTAATCTTCTCAAAGACGACGTCCAAAGGACTCCGAAGTTTCGGCTCCTTGGTTACCTTTTTATTATTGTCCAGCCGGGTCATCTCTGTCTCCAGTACCTTCACTCTATTCTCCCTTACGTATTTGTCCTCTTGACACGTAACAAATGTAACTAAAAAAGAAAAGTAATAGAACGAAAAAAATATTCATATTCATCCATAATAAAACTGAAACCAGACAAAACGCTGTAGAAACAATAGAAAATCATTGTCCAATCAATCGTCATAAATTCACCAGCATCCAAACCCCTCCGTCCCAACACTTCTTACATAAAGCCACGTACACAATGTAAATTAAAAAAAAATCTAAAACAAGTACATATTATATAAAGCGTACAAATTGTTACATAATTTTCCACTCAAGAGTTGACAAAGTATTGTCAAATTTTGAATTCCAAAGATTAGACTACGTTTACACGGCGGCCTTAAACCGCTTTAATTAATATTGATCTAAAGGAATTGACCTATCCCAAATACTCCTTGCGCGTAGAAATTTTTATGATTTTTAAATTTCTGCAGATCAATATTAGCTAAACTGGTATAAGACTAATGTGTAAACGTAATCATTGACAAAATGATAAAATTTCATTGGGGGTGGCGAGAAGTTGACATAAGCAATCGGAATGCAATTAATGCAGTATTTAATTAGCTTAACGCGTTGACTGTCGTGGTACTTTTCAGAATTAAGCCAACTAAGAGGTATCTCGTAGTTTGGCAGTCAACGTGTGAAATGAAAATAATTTATTATCAGGTGATAATAATGATTTTCTGACTCGGGCAGACAACGCGATGCCCTTTGATAAGAAAAACTTAACGATTTATTAGAGTTAAAAAAAAATGTTAAGAACGTGTCATAAATAAATTAAAAAACATGATGACTTATTAAACGATCTAATCGTGTAGTATCGTTTTTTTCTTTTTAGTTTGTGAACTGTCTACTGATAAGAGCATAAATATATACAGGGTGTCTCACCGAAATTGGAGACCTCGATTATTTCCGTTACTATTGAAGATACGGGAAAAAGTTTCAGAGAAAAGTTGTATGGTTTCAAGGGGGTCGGTTTTTCATCGGAATGATTTTTTTTAAATATTTATTTGTTTTCGAGATACAGCAGATTAGGTGTTTTTTTTTTTAATGGATCATCATTTTCTGTTGATAGAAGAAAATGTAGCGCGTTTTTTTTAACGTTTTAAGAGCTTGTTGACTAAAATCCATCCAGCCATTCCTAAGTTATTGAGAAGTGAATTTATTCTACGATCTTCGGTTGCAGCGTCGCTGGAGCATTTAAAATTCGCGCGCTTAATTTAGGTACCGAAGATCGTTCAATAAATTAATTTTTCAATAATTTAGGAATGGCTGGATGGATTTTCGTCTGCAAGGTCCTAAAGTGTTAAGAAAAAAACGCGCTACATTTTCTTCTATCAAAGGAAAATGATGTTCCATTTAAAAAAAACACGTAACATGCTGTATCTCGAAAAGAAATAAATATAAAAAAAATTATTCGGATGAAAAATCGACGCCCTTAAAACCATACAACTTTTGTCTGAAACTTTTTCCCGTATCCTCAATAGTAACGGAAATACTCGAGATGTGCATCTTCGGCGACACACCCTGTATATACATATATGATAAGCATCAGATGCATTTCTAAAAATATGATTTATTTATTCAAATATTATCGCTCGATATGAACAGGACTGGCGTCTCAGGTCGCGAGACGTTAGTCGTTAAATGAAAATTAAGCTTTTATCATTGAGCAAGCATCAGATACAGATTTATTTTAAATTCTGGCAAACTTCTGGCTTTCATCAGTTAAACGGTTGCCTTGGTATGGACCTGCAGAATGTCATTTGATTGGTTAATAAAAAGTCAGAGGTGTCTAAATACAAAAATAAGAGTATAGTTAAAAATTATATTTAAATTGATGAGAAAAAAAATCATTAAACTTTCCAATCATCATGAATGACGTTAATAAAGTGCCTATCAAAATTGTGAAAAATATTTATTGGTCCCAATGGCTGGTAGCTTCGATCGGTAAGGACTTCAAAAATCGTTTAATAGATATCTCCTTACTTCGTGCTATGAGGTCCGAGGAAGCCAACAGACGTGAAATCTGTTGATCGTTTGACAGCACTAAAATGTTAGTGTTAGTTATTCTATTTAATATTTTTCTTGCCTTCTCTGTAGCTTGCTTACTATTGATTGACAATGGTTTAACGACCGGATGGGTTTCGCCGTATTTGGCACGTATGACGTCATCCACATCGGACATGAAAATTAAATTAACGGACGTCGAAGCATCGTGGGTAGTTTCTATATTCAACATTGGACGAATAATTGGTACCATAATAACGGTACCGATGCAAGGTAATGTAAAATATATACTCATCCTATAAAAAAAAAATGTTATTAGGGATAAATAATAAAATTAATCTTTCTTCACCTTCGTAACAGATATCATAGGAAGAAAAAAGTCATTGCTGATATCAAGCGTGCCATTATTTTTCACATGGATTTTCTTCACTATTGCCAATTCGGTTTCTTGGATTTACGCCGCCCGACTGTGCGGCGGGATATCCTCGGGCATTTTATGGTCGGTGCTGGCGGTGTTGCTGGGCGAAATAGCAGATCCTGAAATTCGTGGTGCCGTGGTAAAGATCCCGGAACTCCGTCAACGGGCCTGTTCATATGAATTTCGCATACGACTTGTCTATGTTTTTCAAATGGAATGTCGTATACAAAAATCATTGGAACAGACTCGATAATGCAGGCCTTGTACAGGGTGGAAAGAAATTATTGGTCATTTTTTTGCCAGGCGAATCTCCAAGTCATGTTTGGCGAAGTTCACTAAAAATATTGAGCGACAAAATTATTGTGACCTTGGCAGTCAAGGTCAAATTTTTTTATTGTCTCAAAAAATTCTACTCGTCAAGTGGAACAAAAGTCTCAAAGGGACTATAGGTCAAAAACGCGATCTTCTATGTGAAAATAAGTTAAAGACCAAAAAAAATCGAAAACATTTTTTGGAAGCAATTCTTTGGGTCCCGCGTCGACGTCATCCTCGTCAACACAACGAGGCACTAAAAAACGACTTGGCAAACCGTTCGGAAAACATACACATTATTATCTCTGAGCTCGATTAAACAATATTCTGGAAAAAAATGTTTCCGATTTTTTTGTCTTCAAGTTGTTTTTTCACATAGAAGATCGCGTTTTTGATCTATGGTCCCTTTGAGATTCCTGTACCACTTGACGAGTATAATTTTTCGAGAAAATAAAAAAATTTAACCACGACTGCCAAGGTCAAAGTAATTTTGCGGCACAATATTTTTGATCATTTTCACCAACCATGACCTGGAGATTCACCTGGAAAAAGGATGATCAATAATTTCTTTCAACCCTGTACAACAGTACAGACGAGATCTGTCACTTGACAAAAAAATCAATAAAAACTAACCTACAATTTTTGTAGATCTTTCTTAACGTCAATGCCTGCTCTGTTGGGACGCTGATTGGAAATATAATGGGCCCCTACGTGTCACTGGAAGTCTTCAGTTACGTCTGTCTGATACCCATAATCCTTTTCGTAGGACTTTTCATCCTTCTACCGGACTCACCGTATTATTACATGGAACGCAAGGACGTAGAGAACGCCGAAAAGTCCTTGAAGTGGTACAGACGTCGGGAGGACGTCAAGAAGGAGCTGTGCATGATACAAAATTACGTTGAGGAATCCGTAGCGAGTAACACGTTCTTGAGCAAAGTGCAGGAGATGTGGCAGCCTGGAAATCGAAAGAGCGCCATGATACTTCTGTCAGTGAATCTCTTCATGAATATGGCTGGAGTAAATACGTTAAATTTGTATACCGAAATCATAATGAAAAGAAGCGGTATAAGCATGACGCCAAGCACGGTTGTCATTGTCATTGGCGTAGTCATTGTTCTCGCTGGAATGATGTCATCGATATTTGTTGATCGTTTTGGCAGAAAATCACTCTTAATCGCGTCCAGCTTGGGTGTTGCCGTTACGCATGCTCTCCTTGGATTACATTTTCTATTGTTATCCATTGGATATGACTCTAATGATCTCACGTGGCTACCGATCATCACGATGATCTTGCTCAATGTGTTTTTGTATTTCGGTCTTTATCCTATACCGTCTGCCTTAGTCAGTGAAATGTTCACGTCCAATGTTAAGACTCTTGCGTCTTTTGGCACGGCTTTCTCGTCGTCGATATTTGCTTTTATTATCAGTAAGACCTTTCAGCCATTTTTAGATGTCGTCGAGGAACATTATGTATACTGGACTTATGGTGCTATTGTATTCCTTGGCGTACCGTACACGTACTTTTGCATTCCGGAAACCAAAGGCAAGAACTTCTTGCAGATTCAGGAATTATTGAGAGAGAAAACTTAACATTATCTTTCATATGTTATTGCTTGAAATCGTTATTTAGGGTTTGGGGTAGGATTTGTCATCCAGATGAAACGTGGACTAGAAACAGAGTGTGTTATTCGATTATAAAAATATTAATCATTCTTATTATTGATGTCTTATGAGAAACAATGTAGAAACGGGCTTTAGACTGATTTTTATTGAACACCCTGTATTTATTTAATTATTGTATAAAAGGATATATAATAATAAATACGTCAGAAGGCAGTTTCAAGGACTTTTTTTTTGGAAATTGGCAGTTATGAGGACAATTGGCATTTTCCAGGGTGGTTCTGGAAAAATTCTATATATAACGTATACTTCCAGGGACATTATGCGGCATTCACACCGAATATTCAAAAAAAAATTTTTGCTGGACACTCCGAGTTTTGATAGCTAAAAAATAGTTCGGTAGGTTAGATTAGGTTGAAAGTTCAATGTCACATGTCCCAGAGTTTAGTTTTTTTTTTTTAACATCAGCTTGCCGTTGTGAGTGCCGCATGTCCTTGAAACTGCCCCTTGACATATACAATACATATATAACCCCTTTGGGATAGTTAAGTCTAATATATTGGGCTAAAAGTGAAACTAGGATTATTTAATTATTATTCAACAACTTGTTACCAGATGCCATATTGAATTCAATTATTGTCATTTCTTTTCAGCTTTTATAGATTTTAACAATTATATTGGAATAAGCAGTACAGCTATGTCATCGCCATCGACTGTATATAATCGCACATATAACGTCATCAATTCAAAATAGATAAGCAAAAAAAAAATTACTAACCAGCTACATTAATAACCTAAAATCAAGTAAAGAAGTGTAAAAGACGTTTTGATTTAAAAAATGAGCAATTACAATTAATCACAGTAATTTGTAAGTCAGAAGAAACTTTCTATCTCTCATATCCCAAGCAGGAAAGATATCGTGATTATGTTACAGTGGAATCTTTGAATATTGCATTAACACTGACATGCAGGTAGAGGAAAACTAGAGTTGTACGATTGTCACGTCATTACGTCTTCTTCCTTTCCATTTTGTCATCCCTTTCAATCGTATTATTATTAGAAAGGAAACTCGTCGCCAGCGTTACACATCCAAGTACACCGTAACGAATGTCACTGTGAAATCATCTGCAAGAAAAGTAAGGAGCATTAACGATTACATACGTCCAAATAAATACTTGTGCAACCTAGTTGCCTTGTTGCCTGTTGACAATGACAGTCCGCCATATTGCAAATACTTTTCGTACTTCCGCGCGATATTCTCGTTGACTGAAGTGAGCAGTATCTTCGTATCAGAAGTTCTAATTATAATAAGAAATTGAAAAGACATACGTACACTCACAGGTAAATATGCTTCATCGAATCTCCAATAAAACGATATCTGATTCAATGTGGTTTTTATATTTTTATTAGGTTACGGTTTTGACACAGTAACCGCGCCAAATTTTGAAATTGTATTCGTATTTAAAACTATCTCGTATATGATTTGTTCCTGCGGTGTTACTGGTCTTGATGGGACATTCTTGACTGTCTTTGTGTACGTTTGCGGACAATTTCAATTAATTCAAGCGTGGCTCCGAAAAATTGGCGCTGAAATCAACAGCAATTATAACCTAGAAAAGGAATTGCATGAATAATGTATTAAATGCATTCAACATCATCAAAAGATAATAGAGTAACGACCTAAAACACTTTATTTAACGTAATCCACTTTTTCAGATTGCATTGTTAATTATGTTTTATGTGAAATTGTATTCAGCCGAGATAACTGTTGTAATGTTAACCTACTTTTAATTGTGATCATTACTTCGTTCCAGAGTTGCTGATGAGTTAGAGGATCTGTTAAGTCCCATTACTTTTATCCAATTCATAATGAATGGTCTGGAAATCTGTTTGAGTGGATACGCAATATCAGTCGATGATAATTATATGGATTTAATAAAAATCAGTAATTACCTGATATCCATTATGGTGCAATTAATTGTATGGTGCTGGCCAGGCGATATTCTCATTGAAGAAAGCAGTGCTGTGGCTAACTTGGTATTTCATGACGTTCCGTTGTACAGGCTGCCGAAAATTTTACACTTCGTTGTCATACGAGGACAAAAATATTCTCGGGTAACAGCCGTGAAATTTCAAAGAATGTCGCTTGGACTACTGACAAGTGTGAGTCTTATATTTTAATTGATATAATAGAAAGACAGTGGATTAACTCTAGGTATGAATTTGTTAATCTGCGAAGCGCGATTAGCTCAATTTATTACGTTAGATATATTACAAGATGGCCGACTGTGGAAAGATGATTAATAGTGACTGGTATTTGGCAATTTCGTGATACAACTTTAATTAGTAGACGCGTGGGATGTCAGACACTCTAATTCAATGCTTTTCAAATGGAGAACAAAATCAAGCAAGTTGTATCTTATATATGAACCGAATAATAAAAAGGAAAAGAAGAGAATTATTTTTCATGAAATACGTATTTTTATGCGTCTAATCGTTTTTTCAAAATTAAGATAGTGCCTTACGATGGTGGTTATGTTCAAGAGACGAAGGAATGTTAATTATAATTATCTATCTTGCAAAAATATGAACAAATAGAAAAGAAGTAGATAAGCAGCGGGAGATATGCGGTTCTGTATACACTAACCTTCCGTGTTTTTGCATGAGCAATTATTTATGGTCTCACAATATTTGCTATACAGTCGCGCCGTCTTTTCTAATTACCGGAATACCTACTGCCGCTATTTCAATGGCCCACGTGATTTATTACTTTCACATAATTCAAGAATGCATTTGACTCTGTTTTAGACATTCAATACGGCTGGCTCGTATTTTACGCTTCTTTGTCAGGTAAATATGGAGCAAGGTGGGTCGTCTTTTTGCCTATAATGCCAATCGAGTTGAGTGCAGAAAAAAGAAAGCACAGACAAAACGTTTCATGCGAGTATCACAATAATTATTAACACAAACAAACGATTATCGTTAACAATTTTCTTTTACTTTCGGTTCAATATTTATTCTATACGTTAATTAATAACGATCTGTCCCAGTACTAATACAATAAATATTTATACTCACGTGGAATCATCTGAATTTACTTTGATAGAAAGAACCAATTGTTTTGCAAATATGCTATCATTTAAAGCAATACGGCACTATCCAAGGATTCCAAATATGATAAAAGCAGAAATGTTCGGTATGTTCTTTGATTGTGAAAATATATCACAAATTTTGGCTAAAAACGGAAAAATATTGATTGAGTTATTGACCCATTTGCATCCGTAAGCTAAATAATTCGCACAAGACGATTGACAGTTTTTACCAGCCACGGAATATTGCGCTTGCGACGATAAGAGCCGACTGTCAATTGAATATTTCAAATAAATAAGGTTAGTAGCGCTTCAGACCTGTGGTGCAAGTGGGTTAAAGTTTTTGAAGTTTCAAAAATAGTATCGATAGCTGAAATAATGAGTTTCCACCGCAGAGTTTAAAGAGAGTTTAGCAGCCTCAGTGGTTAATTCCATGCAACTCCTAATACGTGATTGGTTAGTTTTGTTTAAATTCTGCACGGTAGAAACTAATTGTAAGCCATAGTAATGTTAGATAATCTTATAGTTATCTTGGTGATATCCTATCTTAAGATTAATTCTTTGGTTGGCAGCCATGTATTTTTGAATGTCTTAACCTATCCCAATTTTGCCGGTTCATGATATGTCTGGATATGTCATTTAAAACTGTGCAAATATTTAACTCCTCTTTCGTGGTATTGATAAAACAACTTTCTTGTTTCATAGATAATTATAAACAAGCAATCCACAGAATCGCAAAGCTACATATTGCGAATCTTGACATCTCCATGAAAAGAACAAGGCTTGCTGCGAAAAAAAATGTCTTGCGTGAGACTGTTAGTGCTGCAGGAGAAACGAACGTTTTTAACAGAGAAACTCAATCAACATCTGCAGACAATGTTTTACCGTCATCAAAATCATCAGAATCTTCGACTGAACCATCGAGACTTAGAACCAGATTGAAGCTGGAAAATCTAACTGTGGAAAGTAAATACTATAGTTTAACGTAATTGAGTAATTGTAAAGAGTAAATATTCTTATTTCCTTTTTATTGTTAAGAAACAACAATCAGTACCGATACATCTGTTAATGAGAAAAAAAGCACAAAATACTTACAGGATAAGAAGAAGTTAAGAGGAGTAGTTGATTTAGAAATGATGAAGAATGAATTAAAGCAATTGGAGGATCCTCCTGCTACACCTATAGAGATAGAACTGTCTTCGACTAGACTATCATATGACTTTTTTGATGTACCTTGTGAAACTCTGGCACAGAACATGCTGGGTCAGTAATTGAATAGTAATTCTGTACTATGGCCAATTGATTTATTTGTATATATTATATGTTTGTGCCATTATGATGTTTAGGAAAAATACTTGTTCGCCAGCTGGATAATGGGACAATTTTAAAAGGCAGAATTGTGGAAACTGAAAGTTACCTTGGAGTTGTAGATAAAGCATCGCATACGTATCAACATCGTATTACACCTCGAAATGCTCCTATGTATATGCCTCCAGGCACTATTTATGTTTATCTCACGTATGGCATGTATCACTGTTTCAATGTCTCTAGTCAAGGTGAGTCTGAATATTCCTGTATACGCTTCAGAGTTTTTATCACTATCAAAATGTCAATAATGTAGAGTCAGGTGCATATGTAACAATCAGAGCTTTGGAGCCAACAGTAGGTCTGGAATACATGGAGTTGTTAAGAAACATTTGTGTAATAGAAGGCCGAAAGGAAAAGAAAATGATAAATAATATAAAATCCCTAGAATCACATGAACTGTGCAATGGTCCATCTGAAATTTGCACTGCCCTCGATATAGATGATGAAACTTTCCGTGATGCAAATATTGTCACATGTCATGGACTATGGATAGAAAATAATTCTAGTGTAGAAAAACTTAACATCGTAGCTACACCACAAATTGAAAATGAGCCTTCTAAATTTAAAAAACCCTCAAAACAGTTGTTACGATTCTATATATTAGGAAATTCTTGTATCAGTCAGAGGAATGTACTGTATGAGAAGGATGCTTGTGCTACATAGAGAAACTACAACACTCTACACTTCCCTTTATCATAATCTCCTGGAGAAAATCTGCTGAAATTTTAGGTGACGGTTGTGCCGTTCTTTTAAGAGCCGTGGATCCTATTCAGGGCACGGAGCACATGGAAAAATTTCGCAGCTCAAGATCAAAGTCGAAAGAGCCACGAAAATCTGTCAAACAATTAAAACCGCATGAATTGTGCAACGGTCCATCCAAGCTCTGCATGGCATTTCAACTTGAAAAAAATCACAGCAAATATTCAATGTGTTCCTGGAGAAGTCTGTGGTTAGAAGACGATGGTTTCGAACAAGAAATAAAAATTGTTCAATGTCCCAGAATTGGAATTGACAGTGCTGGACCAGAATGGGCAAACAAACCTTTAAGGTATTACGTGCATGGAAATAAATCTGTGAGTAAAAGAGATAAGAAGGCCGAAGCTGTCTTATCACAAAGTGATTAAGATCAATCAACAAACAGTGTGATTAATTTATGTGTAATAACTTCTCTTATCATTAAATTATACAATAATACACACTCAGGACTATGTACATATTCGATTTATATGCTTGCAAGGATCATATACATAAATGAGTATTGCACATACCCGACTTTTACTATTATTTTATACAAAATAATGTGAAATATAATTATGTATTACAGCTAGAATAATTATTCGAGCGGATATTTAACCCACAAGTAGAATGTAAGATCTAAGGGACCCTTTTATATCAAAATTCATAAGAAGAAGACCATTGTGTCACACATTTTACTTATGATGAATGGACAATGCAGTGAATCAAGATTGATCAAGATACCGTGGAGTCTCTCACAGCTTACATTCTCTTAGCTTGCGGAAAGTTGGGAATGAGATCGCCTGAGTGTCATTGGTTATCAATACCAAAGAGGAGGAATCAGCAGGACCGTTCAGAATACGTGATTGATACTTTGCTTAGCTTATACATCTTTGCATTAATTAAGCTGTAAGAGATCCCACTTTACTAATATGAAAATGCTGTTTTTCATTTAACAAAACTTCATTACGTGTACACGTGGTATAATTAATAATTATCAATAGCACCGACCGCAAAGATTCCTGATTTCACAGTAATTCCTCAAAGACTAAACGTTAAAGTTTAAACGTTTTTAAAAGTCTCCATCAGTAAACTATAGCTAATCGACTATTTTTTCTTTGCGCCCTATATTACTTAATAGTACTAGCACATAACATCTATAATCACAATATGAAATCTACACTGTTGATAAACATTACTGCACCTACGCCCATTCTTTTAATACTCTTTCATAATCACCCTCTTCGATGAATGGCTTGTCGATGGACCTGCAATGAAGTATTTTGGTTTATAAAATGTAATCCAATAGATTCTGATTAATAACATTACTGACAATTAAGAAATAAATATTGTTATAAATATTTACAGTGATATGATACTCACTCAATCATGAGTTCTCCGCAGTATAAACATTCAGATGCTACCAAATCATCGATGTCAGCTTTAATCTGATCTTTGGTTGACAATGACACCGATATAACAGAATTTGTATCTTCTGGCCTATTTGAAATGGTAGTCAGCTGTCGCTGTAAATCTGCCAATTTAGTTTGCTGATCCATGGACAGCATTGGAGTTAATGCTGCCACTAGACAATCACTATGAAATCTATGTCCACATGGAAAAACATAAAATGGTCGCAGGAGTAACTGAGAGTCACAGGTATTACAGGTGTCCCTGGCCAGAACAAATGTGCATCTAAAAAATATAAAAAAATCGTAAATACAGTCAAATGAAAACTTTTTTTAAATCTCTAATAAACATTAGAACATACCTGTTCCGAAAAGCTTGAATATCTTTTCGTATAACCTCCGCAGCTTTTGTAGCCTCCTCCATCTCTTCCTTGAGATCCTGTATATGCTGATTGTACTCCTGAATAAAAAAAACGGTATTGCGTATAACAAAAAGAATTCCATTACTTCATTGAAATTTTTAAATCCAACTCCATCGCCGTCATACCTGTAAAGAGTTACATATAGCTTCTTTGAAGTGGTCAATTGTAACGAAGTCTGAGAAAAATGGCAGAATGTCTTCTATTCTGACTAAATCACAATGCTGAAGGAATTTCATGGCTTCTTGAATATCATCCTTTTCACGTACAACGTGTTCAGCTGTAGAGAATCAGTCTTTAGGGAAATATCCGCGTAATCAAGAAACAAACAAACAAACCTATTTTAAGCCACAGTTTCTTTCTCAGCTCATCATCATGATGCAAGGGCATTGCAGCAATTTGCTTAGCAAGATCAACACTGATCGTTAACGCGAGGTCAACAGCAGTCGTCCAAAGTCCTAATAAAGCAGACAACTGTACGCAGGCTCTAGTCAGATTTGCTTCTTGGCAAAGTCTCAGAGCATAATGCACATCGTAGTGTACCATAGTCACATCTTGGCCTTGAAAACGAAGATACAATTGTAATGTAAGGACAAAGTATCCATGGCTTTAAAAAATGGAGTACCTTGAGAACTGATATAATGCATAACTTCGTCTGACTTATAACGAGCATACAGCGATAGTAAAAAATTATGTATTGCCTGTTCCTGACAACCTTGCTTGTACACACAAAATTCCAAGTACCTTATGACTTCCTTAGCCTTGTAGAAGAAGCAAATAAGTATTTTTATCAATACCATGTTCCGTGGCATTAAAAGGTAGAATGAGGTATACAGACGATAGGAAAATCTGAAATCTTACATGTTTTTCGTCGCTGTTACAGGAAACTAAAGCTGGTAAAATCTTGGATGGCTTAAGCTGAGAACCCTGAGCAATAAGGGCAGCTATAGTTGGTCGTGGTAGCTCCTGGAGAAGGATTCCGGCGAACTGGTAGAAGAGATCCTTGTTAGCTTGACTCTTCAGTACTTCTAACGCCTCCATGTAATTAGTTTTATACAGATGCTGACGTATCACTTCCTCGTAATTGCGATGCATTATTGTCAATCGAATCAAATTGTCCTTATCACCGTGGCTTGCCATTAGATCATAAATAGTACTACGGTTCTTCCTGATACATTCCTGTAACGAGGTTTTAATTTTACAAAAGTTTATCAAATATCTTGTTGCAGTTATTTCGTTATATTTACCTCGACTTTTGGAATTGCTAAGAAGCTGTCAAATTGCTTTTGTAGTTCTGTATATTTAGGATTGTGAAGGTGTGATGTCTGATCGCCTCGCAGTGCTCCCATTTGATTCATGAATAACTCAACAACCCAGACTACGATCATAGTTATTTGGGTTTTGTCTTGAGGCTTTAACCCCTCCAATTTCTAGAAGTCAATTTAAAATGTATAGATATGAGTAATGCATTGTAGAGTGATATTTGCATATCAGCTTAAACCGATGCAGCGTTTACCTTCTTCAAAAACACTTGCAGCGCCTCTATTTGTGATTCTTGCAGAAACTTTAATGCAATCTCTTCGAAGGACGAATGTGTATCAGCATAAATCATCGCGCTCTTTTGGTAACTAGCAAAATGTTTTGGATGTTAAATAATGGTTTTATGTTTAATGTTTTAATTGAAAGACTTACTCATTATTCTTAAATAACATTTCAGCTTGTTTGACTAGCACTTGATCCACATGCGCAGGATTATCCTTGCAATATTGCTTAGCTAATTCGAATTCTCCTCTGTCTACGTACACCTAGAAAATACTTATCGTGCAATGCTAAAGAATATTTTAAAATAAGTAATGACAATACGTGAGTATTACCTGCCAGACGTTTCTATCCTCTTTGATCACTTTGTATTTGAAAACAGTTCTCTCGCTGTAGGCCCAAATAGATCCAGTCATTGGGTCTTTTGTGATATTAACCAACTTTCCGAATGCCTATAAAAAGTATCAAGTAATGTCACGTCTGACGTTCGTTTTTTTTTCTTTATCAATTCTTGTTATACATACATCATTATAAATGTCTTCAAAGATTAGGTCCTGATTAAGAAGCGAGATGCCTTTAACATGATCAGCGTACAATAGTAATGCATGAAATTCTGTCAAAATAAAAGAAAGAGGAGCCAATCCTGTTTCCGACGTTCCACTCCCTATTAAACTAGTTTCAGGACAGAGTATCATCTGCTGATTTACTAATACATTCTCAGGATCGACCTTGGGATCCACCTACAAAACCCAACGATTTTATGTAAGTCGACACATCTTTGAAAATACGATATCTGTCTTTAAGATTCTATAAAAACTTTATCCAACAATCACCTGAGCATATAGTATCCCAGTCTCTGTGAGCCATCCAAAAGATTTTGGAAAGGCTCCTGGACCGGGATAAAAAAACTGCATTTTAGAATATGGCAATGAACTTTCTAATTGATTGAAACGTTCTGGAATAAAATTTTTATTGTGTATACTTAGATCTCACCAGATTTTTATATTTAATTGTGCCACGTTTACCTTTCATGTTCAAATATTTACTGAATATTTGTTGCAGCAATGGTTTCTCATCTGAACTGGATACCGATCCAATATATTGGTAAATTCGTATGAGCGTTGTCACAATTATTATGTATTTATCGGTATTTGGTATTTTATGAAATTCCAAACCGGTAATCGGAGGTTTACTTGCTTTACCAATATCGAATACCTATTAAAATGATTATGATGATTTAATCGTGTCACTTGTGAAATAATGTTAATTAATAAATCTTTGTAATGATATTTTCAGGAAGGAAATGATTTATGACTTACCAATCCTTCTACCTCTTTATTACCATAAAGAGGCAGATAGTTTGGGAGCTTGGGAATGAATATGTAGAAGGATCAGCATGAGAGTTAATAGTTGTTAAAATTTTATTATTATCGTTCAATTAAACATACCTGTCTCCAATATTGCTCCAGACTCGTATTAAATATTTTATCACCATCCAGACCAATCTCTGTTTCGAAAATGAGACCCTTCGATGTACCCAATAAAATAGGACCCGATGTAACTTCGGATGTATTGCCAAAATTCCAACCCACTGCTGTGATTTCATGACCTCTGAACTTCCCGGCCTATTTAACAATGATCAACCTAATATGGTAATCCATTGTAACTATTTTTCGTAAAATCATACCTGTTTTAATTTGGTTGTTTTTCTGTGCAGGTAAAATAATTCTGCTGGTGGATTGTCATTGTGCTTTGAAACCAGTGCGAGCAACAAATGAAAACCCAGAGGATCCAAAAATAAGCCTGACAGCTTCATATTTGTGATATATTTTGAGATATCGATTTCTATGGTTAAATAAGACGATTGCCATTAAATATCATTATCGTAATATTAATACGGCAAAAATGAATTACATTATCAAATACCTTCTGGTTTGTCGGGATACTTCATATCAATTCTTAGTAAAACATTATTGGACATTGCTATGACAATCATGTTACTGCTAACGGACAGATGTGTAATCTTATCCGGTGGTAAGAAATTGACTTTTTGTTTTGTGAATATTGGTCCGTCTTCCTTCATTTTCATTTGAATGAAGCCTGTACTACTCTATAATTAAACATTAGACATAAGACTAATAAGTATGTCACATAAACGATACTTTGCATGAAACATGCATGAAAATGACATACAATATCAGGTCTAATTGGGGGTGGTGCTACTTGTTTAGACCTTTGAGAATCTTGTTCGTATTGATCAAATATTGATGTCATTATAGTCTTTTCTGGAAAACCAATCCTATAAACAGAACATATGAACATGATTTTAATCATTTTCAAGTAAAATTCTATAGCAAACATGTTGACGGTTAGTATTTACTCCATTACACTCTGACAACAAAGTTAAATACTTGTCAGCCATTTAGTAGTTAATAAATTCATGGGTACCTTTAAATGCCAAATAGAATCAAGAAGTCAGTCCTAAAGTATAATAAAAGATAAATTTTAAAGGTAATGTTGTTCCACTGACATTTCATCAATTTGCATTAATCACTGACAAACACGTTAAAGAGAGACGAGAGAATCATTGAATACACGTGAACTTAACTGAAAATCCTTCCTTCCTTTCCTTTTGGCTGACTCCTCCAATGAGGAGACGTGCCATTAACTAGTCCTAAAGTCAGTTTGGAAAGATTATGCTGGACTCTAGATGTTAGAGTGCGTTAGAGTCTTCTTTGAGTAGCCAATCGAATCAGTAAGGCGACACGTCCTGTGGACGAGCATAAGCCATAACTTTTATGAGTAGTATGTAGATGGCGTTAGTGATGTTCCGCGTTGTATGTATTATACAGATTGAAGATGAGTGGAGGTAGTTTAAAGAGATCTTCTATGTAGAGAGCGATCAAGAATGCATCCAAGAAGACAACAGTGCAGTGTCGTTTGGGAAGGATACAAAAGAACCAGGATCAGGAGTTGAAAAAAGAAGACTAAAGGGACTAAAGGTGACATCAGGTACGAAATGGAATTAGATAATGTGCATCGCGTCAGTTGGTCTGCCCTGGACTGAATTAACAAAGGTAATGATAGCTTTTAGAATTCTGGAATCTCCAGAGAAGGCCAAATTTTGGATGTTATATGGAGCCTGAATTTTTAGACGTCGTAATGTTAGAACCAGTTTATTCGTCTCCACGGTGTTAAGAGGGCACGCCCAGAAGATATGGTTCAAATCTTGGAACTGAGCATTGCATTGACAGGCCTCAGAGGAGGCGGCACCGATTCTATGAAGGTGAGCTCTAGATGCTGTATGGTTTGTGCGGAGCCTGTTAATTTTAACAATATCATCTCTCCTCCAGTCCATATTGGTAAACCAAGGACAGCCCAAGGTAGGAGGAGACCATTTAAAGAAATTGATTCCCTTATACTGGGCTTGATCAGCAAGATAGTCATAGGCCTTGGATTTCATCCAACTTTTACAGTGCACAGCAAGATCAGACCAGACTACTTTAGTATTTATTGTAGAAATACTGAGGGCTTCTTTGGCCTTTTTATCCGCCATCTCATTACCATGGATTCCCTGATGGGATGGGATCCAGATAAACTGAATTTGAAGTCCGATGGATCGTAAGTCCAGATACATTTCCTTACAATGAGCGATGATAGGGTGAATCTTTGAGTTCATAGAATTATCAGCTAGGCACTGTAAAGCGCTACGTGAGTCAGACAGGATAACCGACTTTATTATGTTTTTTGCTTTGATTAATTGCAGGGCTGCAAGAAGAGCCAATGCCTCTGTGAAGAAAATAGAAGCCTTGTTGCAGTATCTGAATTTCCTAATTAGTCTTGAGTTAGCTACGTAGACTGCAGCCCCACATCTCTCACGGGTGGACGACCAAGAGCCATCTGTGTATATATAAACCCAGTTCCGGAATTCCTTCAGAAGGAAGGTGCCAAGACCGTTATTAGGGTTCTACGTTTCTCTCATAGAAAAGCCAAACTCAAGGTCCACATCGATGTGATGAAAATGCGCTGCCAAAGGAATGGAGAAACAGATTGGACGAGGGTGTCTAATAGACTCAAGGTCCACATCAATGTGTTGCAAATGCGCTGCCAAAGGAATGGAGAAACAGATTGGACGAGGGTTTCTAATAACTCTGTTTTGATATCTTCTAAGAGAAAACCATCTTGACAGAACGTACGGTGAGTATCCACGTGACTGCTGTTAACAGCATTCTCTAAGAGTTTAAGTTTCGCATGGATAGGGTGATGGGTAACTGAGAAAGATCTTAAAATATACCTAGAAGCGAGGAAGATTCTCCTGAAATAAAGCGGGGGTTCCCCTGCCATAGCTAAGATTGCATTAGTGGGAGTAGAGATCATAAGTCCCAGAGCAGATCGCAAGGCCGCGTACTGAATGCGATCAAGGACAATAAGGCTATTTGCCCTAGCTGCCCCATAGCACATTGAGCCCCAGTCAAGGATCGATCTCGTTAAGGCTTTATAAATAATCAGCAGGTTATTGGGGTGGGCATCCCAGTTGATACGAGAGATAGATCTTAAAATCCGCGAAGATGATCGAGCTTTTTCCGAGATTTTCTTTATGTGCTGATTCCAGTTTAATTTATAATCAAACCACACTCTTAGAAATTTAATGACACTTTTTTAAGGACTTCCCGGTTAATTAACTCTGAGGTTCACAATTTGGCTCATTGATAGTGGGATAGCTGCAGTAGAATTTTGGTTATCTACAAGATTTTTTGAAGGCTGAGTAGATCGGGAATCGTCAGCAAATTCATGAAAAGATACCGAATTACATTCCGAAGTCTCATCCACCACGATCAGGCTATGGTTGATCGCCAAGATTGGCCTTGAGGAAACCCCACATTTAAGTCCTGCCTATTTTTATGAAATACTCTCCTCAGTCATAACTCGTCTAACCTGTTTTTGTAGGACAAAACACGGACACCTAAAGGAGTCAGCGCGGTGACCTAAGGCAGAGCAATTAACGCAATATTGAGACGCGGATCTGCAAACATTATCAGCATAACCCTCGCCACGATGAGCACATCAAGAAAGAGAGAGATATATATATATAGAGAGAGAGAGTGTAGCAGCCTGGCTGCATCACACGCTGTATGTACATATGTATAAATCCTATCTAGGCTCTATGATATAAATAGGCCTTATAAAAACGACACAAAACTATTTAGCAGATTCGAAATAAAATAAATGTGCCACTATTTCAAGTTATGTTATGCTGGTCTAGTCCTTCTCGTGTGCACGGCTTTATCCCAGCTTAAACTTTTTCAGAGACTGTACAGTGTGTGATACAGACAGACTGCTATACTCACCTATATCCTTGCTATCTCTCTCTACGCGACTCCCACCATTGCTGTACGCATTCCAGTATGATTAGAGTTCAGTGACTGTCGTTTCTTTATACGTCCACGGAGTACCAATCATAGTAAAGCAAAATCCAGCTTGAATTTTATTGGTTATGCGGCGAACTCCCTTCCCTTCATTTTGGCTTCACTTCCCTTGCTTAAAATACCAGGTTTGCTCCATCCCTATATTTTTATATCTATGACCTTACCACCTATAATCCCTGAAATGCATCGGTGTCCCTTTGTAGATGCTTTCCAGTTACAACTTGCAATCAACACGTGGTTAGTAAGGTCCGACCGTGTGTTCGACAATATTTTTGAGATATGATATACCTATCCACAAAAATGGTAAAATCTTGTTATATTAAGTCGTGTAAGCAAAAGTGGCGGCCCGATAGCACTATTTCTTTTCACAGGTAATGTGAGTTATAATATTATAAAGAAAATATGTAGTCGTGCTTTGTTGTGACCGAATCTGTTATCTATAAAAAAATATTCTCTACTCGTTATTTACCACTTATTTACGGATGTTACGTTGTTATGTAGCCGCCGAAATTCATTTAATGTACCGCGTCAAAAAAAATTATGAAAATTCCTGGTTCAGGACTTCGGACATCTTTATACGTCCCTGAAAAAAAAAAGGTCGTCCACTATATCGGCAAACTCTCTTGGTTCGTGCTTTTACTACAGTGAGCGCGTGTTCTGTGTGAATATGGTTCAGTGATCTCGCTGGAGTATTTCGTGTTTAATTTAAGCGTGGAGCGGCAGCAAGTGAATGTGAATTTTTACCTTATTTAACCAATTTTAAGCTACAAAAGTATAGTTAATACATATTAAATGTCAGAAGCAAATGAAATGGAGAATGATAGTGATCCAGTGATTAGGGAAGTAAGTGGCAATAATTATTTATATTAGATAACATGGAAGCATCGAAAACGAAATAATCGTAGGTTGTTATCCTTAGGTAAAGAATATTGTTTTTTGAGAAACATTTTTATTATAATATATCATTTGGTTAGCCTTGTCTTATGGAATTGGTTGTAAATTGTAATTTGATTCAGTAAGTTTCTATTTAGATGATCTGTCAAGTGTATTAATGCTTAAAATTACATCATTGATAAAAAAATTATTTATAACATATGACATCCTTTTGTATGTTTTTCAAGATACCAGTATACCTGTCCAAAACATTAGCGGAGAAATTATTTATTTTTCAATACCCAGTACGGCCTGATCGTGAGGGATACGATAATGCTGTAATCTTAAAATCCTCTATAAAACCTGAAAATCAAGAAGTCTGTCTCGAGGTAGCTGTTGATACACATAGTGCCAATTATGATCATAGTAAAGGAGAACAGATTGCTATCAATGTTGATGGATCCTCAAGACATGGTACAGAGGACGAAGAAAAATTATTTGATAGGTAATTCATATTTATCTTATTTTCTTAATATGTGTATTTCTTGCTCCACTTTTTGTGTTTATTTTTACATAAGAAACATGTTTACAGCACTCTCATGGACAAAACAGTCTTAGAATCCTCCAGAGCTTTACCCGATTGTTCAAATTATGCAGTTGGAGTGTTTCAAGATGGAGATTTACATATTACACCATTGAAAGGTGTCATTCAATTACGACCGCAATTTAATTATTTAGATAAAAGTGATAAACGTGCCAAGGAAGAGGCTAAGAATACTGGTGAAGGTATAAATTACACTCTTTCACTGCTATATTAATTTTACAGATATTAATGTTCTCAATACTGTAATATGCAGAGATTGTTGAGGAGGAAGAACCAGCCAAACAAGTAAACGTAACGTTTGCACGCCAAGAACCCGAATATTTGAAAAAAATGCGTGAGCAATCATTCCAACATCAGACAAAGAAAAGTTCAGAGGAACAGTGGATCAATACGGATTATATACCAGCCACCAACCCCCAGGCCGAGGTAAAAAAATCTTAATTAACATTCCATAACTGAAACGATGCAGTCATAAGAATATTGTACAGAGCATTGATTACAACATTTTTTATTAAAATTATATTTTCAGCTGACCCGCTTGGAAATGTTATGTACTAACACTGAAGAATCAGTACACACTCTGAATATGAGTTCTCAGGATTACCTAGGTCTTCTTGCTCCTCCAGCAAAGGAAGAAGAATATTCCAAAGCAAATATTTCAAATCATGTAACATCCCTCAATTATATTAGAACGTTACCAATCTTGGATCAAGTTCGAATTCTCATGAAAGATGGTATGTTTACCTAATAAATAAGACTGCCTGGACATACGTTACAAATATTTGATTTTCTAGCAAAGGTCATGTCATTCCTACAATTAAGGAGTCTTGTAGCACAGGACCAGGAGTCTGCTGTCATACTGAAGTATCTTCAACAGGTGGCTGTACTGGTGCAAGGTAACTGGGTCGTAAATAGTGAACTTATTTATCCCAAAGACACCATATCCTCACACAGTGGCATTCCAGCTGAGCTCATGTGTAGATCAAGAGATTACATTGTACGTATCACAATAAAACACAACATAACCATAACTAATCTAAAAATCATATGAGTAAAATAACATTAATTGTATATTTTACTTTCCTTAAGTTATTATCATTTACGGAGCATGAGTACATAGATAGACGTGCTATATCATCAGTGATAAAATTGCCATCAGAAGAGATTCGTGAGATATTTACGAACTTATCGAAGCATCAACCAAAAAAAGGTTGGCACTTGATATTACCACCGAACAAGGATTTCATAGAAAGGTAATAAATTAACACGACAACAATAGCACTGCATGATACATATAATTAAACTTTATCATCCCATTAGATACCCAGAAATAGTTCAACGACAAAACATGTTCTGGGAAGCCAAGAGAAAGCATTTACGTGAGGTTATGAAGGCACAGAATCAAGCACCGCAACGTCAAAGACGGAAGTCGAACAGAGAATCCATTGGGTCAGAAAATGAGGAAAGAAACGTTGGTCGAGGTCGAAAAACATTAAGGGATTCATCAGTCTCTGACAACGACAGCGCGACAGAATCTGTCAAAAACAAAAAGAGCCACAGGTCTAGAAAAGTTTCAGAAACAACGTGACCAATACCGGCGCATAGGTAAATAATGTAATTCAAGATGGCATCAATTTTTAATATATTAATAACGTTTTGTTCAACTTCACCATCGTAATTCCTCGAATCGATTGTCTCTCGTGAACACTGCCGCAATACAAAATCATCAACTGAAATAAGCAAATAATTTAGAACCGAATTTTATAACGAATAATCAACAGATGTTCCTAACTTGGAACTCGAATTTCCATATAGCGTACCTATACCTCTCAATACTGATACTGATACTATCTGCATAAACAAAATATTAAAAAAAAACCTATATGAACACAATCACGTCTGATGCATGATTTATCAGTGACTGAAGTCGTTCCATGTATAATTATGAGCGCTGAACGTAAGTGTAACGCGCGAGTCGTGTCAGCTTACTAAAAAAAAAAAAATTAATGAGAAACCTGATTATAGTTTTTACTATTAACACTGCGAAGAACTGTAGAAATTAAATTCATTACTTTATACATATACACTATATGCTGGTGCATTTATTATTATTAATAGTGTTATTAGATATAACATGTTAACTGTAAATATTTATAGAAAGACCCATAACCACTTATCATGAATGTTTAAAATTTTCTTATTGAAATATAAAATAAAGACAGCAGACTTGCATTTATAATTTTACACAGAACGATTAGTGAATGTCCATTTACTAAAGATACCAGCAGATAAACGAACTGATAACAATTCCGCGACAAAGACAACAATAGAAAAACAATAACCAGCAACAGCCAAGAAGATGATACCTCGAAGATTTATATGATTTTCTTGACCCTTATTGTTGTCCTCGACATCTTTCCACCTTTCCAACTTTATCGCCGATTCACCAATAAAATCCCTAATAAACTTCGTCAAAAAGCCCCCCTCAAATAATCTTATAACTATCCGATAAAATAAATTCGCAAAAGGAGAACCTCTAACGAAACAAAAGTTCTTATATCCACTCCAGATCGAGTCAGGGAGTATACCGATCGTCTGTTTGCCATTCTCAGTTGTAATGGCAAGAATAAAATCAGTTACGGTTGCAAGAGCGATGCAAGAGACGTTCCTGTACTTTACCAATATATTAGCACAATTTAATGGATCCTCTGAGTATATAACTTTCTTCGCAAGATTGTATCTGGTACCATCAGTAGTATCTTGACCAAACGTAATGCCAAAAAAATTTTTTGTCATCATCAATTTCATGTTTGATTCGTCCAAATCCTTTAGTGATGATATCTGCTGCACTTTAGTACCCACTATCAATCCTTTTGTCAAGGTACTTAATAACAGACTACTAGCAACTACAGATAAAAATGCAATAGATGCGAAGACAGCTCTATCCGAATTGTTTAATGGCATTCTTTTAATTGGCACTGATATCAGGACGGAGAAAATACGAAACGGATGCCAGGCAGAGTGAGAGAATTTGAAAACAACTGAGCACAGCCATATAAAAAGCAGCATTATTGCACAAAATAGCAACATTAAAGTATGCTTTAAATTCACGGATACTGATTCGTTCAATCGCAGTGGTACCAGGACACGTATACCTTCTGGATAATATAATGGTACCAATTGCATGAAGTTATGAAAGTTAGCATCAGTAAGGACTCCAGTGTTTAGTACAAAATCGATCCTTCTCTCCGCAAAGTCACTTAGGATACCAGTCATCGTTCCATTCGGTAGTACCGCACCAAATTCAGTATTGCAGTTTACAACTTCCTCAAAGGTGAAGTTCCTCGCCTTACTTATTGACTCTATAATCTTCATTATATATCCGGTTATCTCGATGGAATGACATGATGCATTTTTTTTGCTTTGTACGTGCGGCCAATAATTAAGATGATTCACTTTAATAGGATATCCGTGGAGGTTGTGTAGGTTCACATGAAAATAATTGATTTCTGTATTACATGGCTTCTTTGAATATACGTGACGGAAAGGATCATACGTGTGAAGATAAATATCCGAAGATGTTTGACAATCCCTCAAATCTATACATACTGACTGCTCTAATAGTGCTATCCAAAACATCTTCTTATCACAGAATCTTTTTAGCAGGAACTCCAGATTCTGATTACTTGTTCTGTCGAGAAGGATGAATAGAAGCTTGGGTGTTGCGTACCAAACCAGAAACTTTTCCATATTGGTGATCAAGTCATCGATTGTTTGTAGATCTGGAACTTCCTCGGTGACGTGGACGTATATTATTAATGTTCTATACAATTTAGTATACGATTGTCTGAGAACGTTACCCTCATAAAAGTATTTGTACCCGTGCATAATTGGTAGTCGAAATTCTGGCCTATCTGATTCACTGTTCAACCACGAATCATTTTGTATCATAGGTACAAATTCCATCTTGCTGATTCTGGGATCATCAAGACTTATATGCATCGTCGGAATCATATTAGACACTTGCTGGATTATGTTATCCAGGATGTAAACATCAAAGGGTATCGTGTAATTGTCTCTTGAGAGAAATAAGACCTCTGAAGCATTTGACTTATTGGTCATTACCTTGATGACTTCACTTAGATCTGGAGCGTACTGCGATATAGGTATATGATTAGTGGATACTTGAAATATTTGAAATGTTGTGAAGATGAACTTCAAGATACTTCTAACGCGTAGCTTCATCCTCCTGACTCAAGTATCTTTTGCAAAATTATTCACGGCAGAGATCGTTCTGGTTTATATAAGTTGTATTGAGTTATTACATTTATCTAGAAGTCAATAAATTATCTCAATTTGTATAACACGCTCTACGCATTATTATGACCATAAACTGTCAATTGTATTGATCATTAAGCAAATGATACATAATTCCTTGCTACGTCGCATTATAGCTTTTGAAAATGATTTGACTGAAGTAACAATAATAATGATGGATTCGAATATTCTATTGTATTGAACTATTTGAAGTAATACTTCACGCGTGTGCATGTACATACTAAGTGTTAAGGTAAATTAACCTTTGTTGCATAATAATTTAAGATGAATGGATTATACTCCCATTATGAATAGTCTAATTGGAACACACTTAATAAACTAATCAGAATACTTTCAAACAATTTGTTAGTATAAAACACGATACGATATTACAAATAAATTATTATATTAAATAAAAATTAGTTGTAGAACTCTTGAGTTTTGTTAGATAACAGCATGCAATGTTTTTTGATATTTAAACTGCAAGTATTCAACTGCCATAAGGAGAATTTACTAGAGCAACAATAGAACCATTGGATTAATTCATTAATTGAATATAGCAATGTAACATAGGTATACCTATTTATAAATAAGTATACATAAAGCAAATCTATAATCTGTTAGAAATCTAAGGAAGGATTATGTCACCATAGCAACGGTTATAATGTGTATCGATCAAACTTTACTTTCAAATTCTATTTTATGTCACTGAGCCTTGTTTGTCAGACCACAAGCATATGGAGAACAAATATGATTATTAAAAATTTTAATAATATTATCAGGGTGGTATAAGTGTGCATCATTGAATTCTTATCAACTAGCATCATGTGCGACAAAGGAGAAAGAAATCCTCAATCTACAAGTTCGGTGCAATCGTCATACCGGCCAAGATTTTCAAAGGATTCACCTGAGCACACAGATAAAATGGAAGACAAGGATAATTCAAAAGAAAATAAACCATTGTCGCAAAATATACCAGTGATCCTTGATCCGGATGATCCATTGATGAAAAGATTTCAAGATGCGCTCAAGGCACACCTCACGCGTGTCAATGACAAACTTAATCAAGAGATACTCGAACTCGTATGTATATTTTTACATACAAGATAGTTAGATCATAAAATTGAATATTGATATATGTTATAAATATAGAAAATATGTTAAAGTATTAAATACAACAATAATGATATATATTCCAGGAAGCCACTTTCAAGTTAGAGGAAAAAAATCGTGAGACCAAGGGACTGACACTGTACAATGCACAGCAAGAAATTGCGAGTCAGGAAGCAGCAATTGAGAAGTATGAAAAGACTCTGTTTGAAATAATAAAACTGCGCGAGGAGAGGGAAGAAGAATTAAAGAAGGCAAAGGAGTCGCACAAGGAAACGAGTGAGAAATTGCGAGAGGAAAAGACAAGCGAGGAAAAATTACTTGGCGAAATTGAGAGTCTCGCGTCGCTCGAAAAGCAATTTGCTGAGTGGGAACAGGAATTGGCTAACAATTTGATAATCTGTCAGAGAATGTCAGAGAAGGATGCGATTATACAACGTGAACTTATTCACGAAAAGCAGCGAGAGGATTATATACTGTTCAAATTGATGCAAGAAGTCTGGAAGGTCGAGAACGAGATTAAAAGTCTTGACGAGCAATTGCAATTGAAGGAGAAAGAGAAGATGGCAGCCAAACAAGTTATTTCGGATGCCAATGCTGATCTGGAGGCTGTGCAAAGAGAACACAAGAATTTGTTTGCAACTTGGAACAGTGTGATAATTAGTATTGGTCAAAGGGATCGAGTTAATCAAGAGTTAAATGAAGAGAGACGGTATGAATGATAATTCAAAAAATACTTTTGGATAATTTTTTTAATCAATTGTAATTTCTCATTGGGGAGGGCAGTGTAATACTCTTTAGTTATTTATATCTTTTGTCTTTTAGAAAGATACGAGAATCCTTCTATACTCTACAAGCACAGATAGAAAAACTCAAGAAAGACACTGGCAAGGAAATGGAAAACAATGAAAGGCTCACGTTGTTACAGTCACGAGTCGAAGAAGACGTACAACATCTGGTCAAGACAATTTCTATAGAAAAGGATAAGCTCAATAATTTAGAGTCACAACTCATAAGAACGACCAGACTTGTGGAGCAATCACAGGCAGAGCTTGCTGCTGGGGAAGTGGTATGTAACTTATTTTGATAACTATTAATTGTTGTATGATATAACGTAAAAAGCTTCAACTAAAGGAATGAACTGATATTAATCATTGAAAGTTGGCAATTATTCTTGTTTCACTTGCTAATTTAACATTGACAACTTATTTCTTACTGAAAAATCATCTACTTTAGAAATATCAGCAATACGTGAATGAGGAGAAGCTTATTGACAAGGACCTGGATAAATTAGCTAGTCAAAAGGTCATGATCGAGGATGAAATTATTGCAAAACTCGAGGAAAAGATTATTAATAACAAAGCGGCGCGACATTTGAATAAATTGTTGCGCGACGCCAAGGAAGGAATAAGAGAACAGGAATTGCTGGTAGTGCAAGCGGAAAATGCTTATGCTAAAACCACGTTAGAAACGGAGAGGCTCAATACGATAATTGCAAACACAAAAATTGACCTGGACGAAATTGCTAAGGACACCCTTGCTAGTGAAAAGGAGATTGATAAGATGACAGCAGAGATAAGGAAATGTGAAGTCATAATTACCAAAAAACAAAGGACGATTGCTTTATTGAACAAGAAAATAGAAGAGGTCGCCAGAAACTGATGAATTTTATTAAAGCTATTCAGTCCAAGTCCTTTTATTCATTTTTTAAACGCCTTTCTATTTTTTTAGGCTCTAGCAACAACTGGCGGAGAAGAGATCAGTCCGCTGGATGTAAAAATAATGACATTGGAAAAAAACATAGATGAGATTGAACAAAAAAATCAGAAATCTCAAAATTACTGGCTCAGGCAGGAAGGTTACATTGTCACGCTCAGCCAGCAGAGGAATATGCAATTGCAAGAGATTAATTTATTGAATAAACAAATAACAATTATGGAGCAAAAGAACTTAAAACTTGAGCACGAATTAGAGAAGGAAAAAAAAGAAGAAGCGAACATGAATAGAACAATAAATTTGTTTCAGCAAAAATTATTGCAAATTAACAATAGGTTGGCTTCGCAGAAAGAATTAAAAAATGAATTGGAGGATAAGAATTGCTTGATCAAAAATGAATACATGAAGTCCCTTCAGGATGCCGAGATGGATATTATCAGATTACAAAATCAACTTAAAGATTTGGAGAATGAGAAGATCATGTTAAAAGACCAATTGAATGCGTTGCAACGTGAGAGCCTTTCTTGGGAGAAAAAGGTGAGGAACAGTGTTAGAACTTTTTTTTCGCAACAATGAACTAATTTAAATGAAAAAAAAATCTTAATTAGGTAAACCTGGCATGTGAGACCATTAAACGTTTGAAAAACGAACGAGCAGCCGGCGGAGATGTAGCAGTGATGAAGAGTGAAATTCACAAAATGGAAATACGACTATTGCATTTGAAAAAAGTCCAAGAGAAATTGGTCCAAGATATGGAATTCTGTGTAGCTAGAAGAGACGTAATAGTTGACGGGGTGATGGCTAAACAAAAAAGAAATCCTAAGAGTCAACAATACCAAAAAATAATCTTCAGAAAACGACTGGATGATCAAAGCTTAAAGATCAAGAAACTTACAAAGGTACCAAAAACTATTGAATCGTTAATAATAATTACTACTAATCAATTGTTTTAGGAATTGAAACAAATAGAGAATAAAGTATCGGTAGTGGAGAAACAACAAAAAGAAATGCTGGAGAAATTAAACGAGGGTCAAAATACATTACGAGAAATAGAAGATGTCATTCCTGATATAGATAAGCAAATCATGGAAGCTGAACTGATAAAGCATCAGGTAAGTGCAGAATTTATTCCCTAAGAGGGAAAGCACATTAATTCTTGAAAGAAATCGTCCCACCTGTAATTAGGTCCAACGGTCTATCCAAATATGAGCGGAAATGCACTACATATTTCTTAAGAAATAATTCATAGTTACGACATTAATAATTAATTAGTATTAAAGTTACACTTCTCTGTCAAAAGTGCGATGGGAATTAACATGCCAGAATATGAATTCAAATTCGAGAGTAACATGTATCTTAATTTTACAGAATCTAGAATCTCTCATACGGAAACAGCATAAAATTAAAATGCTTGAAAGTGTAAGAGATGGTCGTTATAAAATCCTTTTTAAGTCAGAATCTGCATTAAACGAAGAGCTGCAGAAACAACGGATCATGAATTTTGAATTGAAGGCAATTATGGAACAAACAAAACAAGATTTTCCTTTGCTAAAAGACAGTATTGATACAATTCTTTTAACATTGGAGATGCCCTGAATTCGGTGATGAAAACCAACCCTTTGGGCATCTTTTTTCTCCTTTTAAGTTTAAACTATAATGCATTTAGTTTAGATGCAACAGTTGCATCTTTGAAAAAATGCATTTTTAAGCAGAAAATGGTAACAGATTATAATTTAACATATACTTTACAGACAAGTCTGTATTTTTATATTTTTCATTGGCAATGTACTTATTTTCTATTTACAAACATGTGTCGATGAACCATGCGGAACATTTGTACTATGAGAAATTGAGTTAATTTCATAACTTTCTGTACATGGGATTCGTACAAATATTATATTTCTATTTTACTTCCCTATATCAGGGAATTATTTAAAGTGTAAAGATTCAGAAATCTCATTGCAACACACCAAAAACTTCAGTCAGTCGAAGTGCTGGGTATCATTTTAGTCATTCTATGTATTTAAATAAAATTGATATACATACTAACTATGCCAGCCATTTTACTATGTGATAGTTCTTCTTTCCAACACGAATCAGTGTTAAGTTATTTGGTAATACGTGTATACCAGGAGTGATGACTTCGCTTATATTGGTAATTTTTTGTTGATTTATGGAGAAACCACCAGCCGCCATAATTCTCATAGCATCTTTATCAGTTTTGAAACATTTTGCTTTAATTGCAAGATCATAAGCTGTAATTCCAGGTTCTGGTAGAATTTCTATTACAGGTGCTCCATCAAAGACTTGAATTAAATCATTTGCGGTCATCTTTGCCAATGATTCAATGGAATTGTCATAGAGAACAGCTGTGGTACGTCGTGCCGCCTCGAGGCCATCCTCTGAAGAAATACACACAAAAAAGATTCGTATATATCTAAAGTGATTTGTATAAACAACTATGTTAGTGCGCAGTAATGAATACAGACCTCCATGCACAAGCAAAGTTACTTGTTCCGCAAGAATTCTTTGCGCTTCGCGTTTTTCAGGATGTTCTACATGTTTTTGCATAAGATCCTTAATTTCGCCAAGACTCAAGAATGTAAAGAACTTCAGTAATTGTTCCACATCAGCATCCTTACTTCGTATAAAGAATTGATAAAGCTGGAAACTTGAGGATTTATGTTTGGAGAGCCATACAGCATTTCCACTAGATTTCCCAAATTTCTGACCTCCTTCAGTAGTAATAAGTGGTAGGGTGAGGCCATAAACTTTCTCATGGGTTGATCTAAATATTAGATCATGGCCAGAGTTTATATTTCCCATTTGATCATTACCACCAATTTGAAAGCGACAATCATAGTTCTTTAGTAAATGTAACCAATCATAAGCTTGAAATACTTGATAAGTAAATTCTGTAAAACTCATTCCAGTATCGGAGTTCAACCGGGACTGAACAGATGATCGACTTAGCATTGAACCCAGTCTGAACCATTTTCCCACAGTTCTCACAAAGTCAATCACGTTCAAATTTGAATACCATTTTATATTATTTACCAATATCACTGGTTTCAATTTGCCTTGTTTATCGTTCCATAGAAACTTTTTATGATTTTCAAACAGTGTTTGTATGTTATTCATAATACTTCTAACATTGTCTTCCACTAACAACTTGTTCATTTCAACACGTTCTGATAAGCGATGGCTAGGATCTCCTATAAGTCCAGTTGCCCCACCTATTAAAGCAATTACTTGATGTCCAGACCGTTGCCAATGTAAAAGATTCATCAGAACTAACAAATTTCCAACATGTAGACTTTCTGCAGTAGGATCAAATCCAGCATAAACACATTGTGGTGACTTATTCAGAAGATCAACAATCTCCTGACTGAAAATAAAAATGCATTGAATCGAACCTTCCAAAATAAATTATAGTGCAATAAGAGCAAAAGAGGTAATTAAGACTCAACAATCGTGACAGCAAAGAAACTAAATATGTTCATGCTCACTTACGCACTTGTGTCAGGGAACATGTCTTGAAACATTCCACGTTCATACAATTTCAAAATATTCCTATTTGAATAAAATCTACATGGTCTATAAAAAGTAGCCTTGCCGGTAGAACATAACCTAACCAAGTATTTTGCATTCATCCTGCTGTACATACTGTATAACAACGTGTCACTATGTATTGCAATGAGCTTAAACTTCTTCGATAAGACGTCTATGTAATTAGGCGATATTAAACTTATTTACATTAATGAAAATTAAATAACTTTTGATCTATTCGACAGAATGAACCTAATAATCATTCCGACAGTGCTATGATAGATCAAATAACCCAGTGCTTTTTCTGCGAACTTATTTTGGTACTACGTTATCCAGGACACTATCCGTCAGAATAAACGTACTATATATATAAAATTAGAGAAAATATATCATGCTGCAGTAGAACAATGAATTTCATGCGAAAAGTATACCAATACTGAAGCTAGTAAGATTGACGTAATGAACTATTAGAGAAGAATGATAATACGGCCATAGAAGATTATAGAGAAAACCGGATTTTTTGTGGCTGATACTAAATTGTACATAATTTTTCCTAGGATTTATAGGCCACACTTAAATTTATTGTATCGCGTAGTTTACTCGTACTACTAGACATACAATACTTTCTAATATTGGATGTATTTCCTCCATAGTCCCTCCTGGACAAAATAATCTTTACATAATAAACCTAATTTCTAAAAACCACGTCTGTCTTAGGGTTGATTTTCAAAACGTCCTCACCTCCGACTTTAATTTTACATTTTCAAATTCTCAGTAGTCGATCGTAATCTCCCAAGAGAGTAATATCCAGTAATATTAAAGTAGAATAAAAAAAGACTTTGAAAAACTATAAAAAAGACTTTCAAAAATCCAAAAGCGCCTTGATTTAATTAGGTTTGACTAGCGCAGTCTAATTCTGAGAAAATTGTCGACGTTTCCAAAATGTAGAAATGAATGTAAAGATTTTAAAATAGCGTGACAAACTTTAATCTTTAGGATTACAAATAAAAGAATTCATGGTAATTGATCGTTATCATAAGAAAAAGGAACTACCGTTTTGGGTATTGAAAATTGAGATTTCGCGGGGACCGATTGTTGAAGGGGGCAATGCGTGCGTGAGTGGAAGGGCACGTAAGCAGTATTTCTGTTGACTCGTGCAGTTCCGGTTTAGCGCAGCAGAGAAACAGACCACGGGGGCCGCACGCGGACAAGCGATATGCGTGTGTAGTGCACAGAGAAATACCGCGAGTAATTATTTTTTTAAGCCCGTCCCAATCGTTCTCGCGATTAGTTCACGATCCTGCAAGTGTTCCCGTACGCTTCGTGTGTTATACCGTGTAGAAGTACTGTCTGGGTGTGCCGAAACAGTGATAAATATGGCGAACAGCGTAGCACCGGACTCGTGGGAACAACAGGCGGACAGCGGAGAGATCATAGCTGCCACTACCGCCGCATCAATTCAGGACAAGTCCCTTGAGAGTAAATTTTCAACCCTCAACGTTAACGCAGCGGAATTTGTGCCTTCGTTCTGCATAAACTCGTCGCCGCAGAACAGTTCTGCTGGCGACAGCCCCAGCGCCGCGGCTGCCACGGCAGCCGTAAATACCGCAACCACCCCCGTACCACCAGAAACACCCCATCACGGTCAGTCTTAGAAAAAAATTATGAACCCCTAGCCGATTATGTTGACTTCGCCAGCTTCTGTATATAACCTCCAGGTTCTTCTGTGTGTACTGTAATCAATCTGAGCATTGCTCCAAAACACGTTTCGGAGTGTCTCTCGACGTCTTTCTAGAAATTCTGAAACCATTATCAGTTATCGTCATTGCTTCCTGGTGGACGTCAACGTTTACTGCATGAAAAGCGCCTGATACTGTGCTACCCTCCGCTTTTCGCGAGTTCACACCGGTTTTCCCCCACTTTGTTAGTACTTTCGCGAAATCGCACCGTTACCATAGCCGCTCTCCTATAATCTGCTCCGATCGCTTTACTCTTTCTTTGATGATTTCTTTGGGCCACCTTATTGTCTTGCATTCTTTCTAAGGTGTCTCTGGGTCAATGAAGATTATTGCTGCTTGCGGGATAAGGCACCTACTTTTTTTCCCGATAATGAAATCACGATTGAACACAGCCGGTGGGGTAGGCGCGAAAAGACACGTGAAACTTTTACAGATGTCGAATTTTCTGGAGGCCTTTGATAATCGTCGTATCCTCTTGTTGATTTGTACTATGTAGTTTATTAATATTCTTAATACATTGTTTACCTCAGGTTTTTATTTGGACTCAGTATTCTCTCTTTTTTATGGGACTCGATACAAAAAATGATTTGGAGTACAATATGTTTTGATATTCTTTGTTCTTTTCAAACCTGAATAACTTCGTTTCATAAAAATGTATGTTAAAAATAATGAGAACATTTTAGTATTTCCTTTGCTTTTTAATAGGTCATAACTAATTGTTTTGTTATGAGATTTTCTGAATTAGTACAATTTATATGTGTGTCTTGAATGCAAGAACAATTCGTACTATGTATATGAACATAACCTTAATTTTATCTGATTCATTTACGATACATAAAATGTTTAGGAATTGTTCGTGAACTATATATCTTATTTGTTCTATTAGGAGCCAGTGCCCCGGCAGTTCCTCCTGATCCTGTGGGCAGTCGAGTTGAGGAGCCACCTGCCGGAGGAGGGGCACCACCACCACCTCCTGCAATAAATACTGATCCATCAAACGTCAGTCCTGAACATCAGCCAGCAGATTCGTGGGAAGAAGCGGCTGTTGATGGTGATCCCCTTCTAACTCCTGAAAATGAAGAGGTGAAAAAAGTTTAAACAATATTTACAGTAAAATTCATTAAAGGTATTAGATAAGTAGGTCTTATTATTTAACACATAAATTGTTATTGCAGGCTGACAATGACGAAGATGAGGAAGCAGTTGTTAAGGTGCCCAAAAAGAAGGTAGTTAAAGTGACGGAAGACACTAAGAGCAAAAAGGAGCACGTTAACGTTGTTTTCATTGGTCACGTAGGTAAGTTAAAAGACAGCAACAAAAATGCAACGCTTCTACTGTATAAACCTGATACAATTGTTGACACTAGCAGGTTAAAAATATTGACATATGTTCATATGAAAAATTCCTGCTACGATCATAGTATTATGCATGAAAGTCGGACACGTATATCCTCTCGATTTAAATAAAAAACTGAAGCGTGTTAAATGTCATAATGCATAATGAAGCATGTGATAATATAATTATCGTAAACGCGCTTCAGCTGTGAAAACGTCTTCAAAACTTCCACGCCCTACTAGACTGATCCTCAGAGATCGGATAGAGGACAAACCAGTTCAATCCGGTACGAACTGGTTGCTCACCTTCATACCTTTACAAGCCCCGTTAAATCAGTAGCCGAACAGAATTGAACTGATAGAACAAAAAATGAAGAACAAGGCCAGTGACTGTCTGACGTTGTAATCATCCTTTTTTTTTAATTTTTCCTCTTATAAAAATGGCTCTTTTAATTATAAACTATTAGACGTAAAAAGTCGATTACTTTATTTATAAGATCTCAGTAGTAAAAGCATCCACGTAATTCACATAGGACTTTATTTGTAGATGCCGGAAAGTCAACCATTGGTGGCCAAATCATGGCTCTTACGGGGATGGTGGACAAAAGAACACTAGAAAAATATGAAAGAGAAGCGAAGGAGAGGAGCAGAGAAACGTGGTATCTGAGTTGGGCTCTCGACACCAATCAAGAGGAACGAGAAAAGGGAAAGACTGTGGAAGTTGGACGGGCGTACTTCGAGACAGATAGAAAACACTTCACAATTTTGGATGCACCGGGACATAAGAGTTTCGTACCGAATATGATTGGTGGAGCGGCGCAGGCTGATCTTGCGGTTTTGGTCATCTCAGCGCGAAAGGGAGAATTCGAAACGGGTTTTGATAGAGGCGGCCAAACGAGAGAGCACGCGATGCTTGCGAAAACGGCGGGCGTTAAACATTTGGTCGTATTAGTTAATAAGATGGATGATCCAACCGTGGAATGGGACGAAGGAAGGTACAACGAATGCAGGTGAGTTGATTAGAATAAAAACAAATTCAGTACCTTACATTGCTCCAATAATCTCAATTATGTTGTTCCATTCAATCTTTTAGAGATAAAATATTACCGTATCTCCGTAAGTTAGGATTCAACCCAGCAAAAGACCTTACGTTTATGCCAGTTTCCGGACAGTTGGGTATTGGCTTGAAGGATGCGATCCCTGAACATCTTTGCACCTGGTACAAGGGTCCTCCATTCATACCTTTCATCGATTCGTTGCCATCTCTCAATCGTAAAAGTAATGGTCCGTTCATTATGCCGATTGTCGATAAATATAAGGATATGGGAACGGTAGTCATGGGGAAGGTCGAGGCTGGAGAAGCCAAGAAGAGTCAATCATTACTCGTCATGCCCAACAGGGTAAGTGTATATAAAAATTTGACAAGCATTAAATATACATGTCCTCTGATATATATTTTTACAGACGGCAGTAACCGTCGATCAACTGTGGTCGGACGACGAGGAAGTGACATCGGTCGGACCTGGTGAAAATGTAAAAATCAAGCTGAAAGGCATTGAGGAAGAGGACGTAAGTCCTGGTTTTGTTCTATGCGACAGCAACAATCCCATCAAGACCGGCAAAGTCTTCGACGCGCAAGTCGTTATCCTCGAACACAAGAGTATCATTTGCGCGGGTTACAGTGCGGTGATGCACATTCACTGCGCCGCCGAGGAGGTCACCGTTAAAGCACTAATATGTCTTGTGGACAAGAAAACTGGTGACAAAAGTCGGACGCGACCAAGGTTCGTCAAACAGGATCAAGTGGCGATCATGAGAATCGAATGTGCAGGAGTCATTTGCCTTGAACGCTTCAAATTGTTTCCGCAGATGGGACGGTTCACTCTCAGGGACGAAAGTGAGTAATCAGCAATTACAATTGATCGAGCCATTTCTAGAATACAGTTACTTACACTTACCGATCAGTAACAGCAATACAAATTTTCCTGTCATCACCACTTCTTTAACCCCTTTAAGTACTATCAGAATTCCATATATGCGTTCAGCGAATGTCATCATGAACTATTTACTTATGCGTTTGCCGAATTTCTTCAGCTCATATTCATATTGTACCTATAATCAGTCAGTACCTTCGTACAGCACGCAAAGAAGTATTTCGTCCATCAAACTGCCTACAGCATTTAAGTCCCCTTTACTCAAAGGATTTAATTAGCCAGTGAAACAGTGTTATCTTGTCTTACGTTTCTCTTATCGATACGTCTCCTTTTATCTTCAGCTCTAACCAATCGATTTTCTTTTTACAGATAAAACAATTGCCATCGGTAAGGTGCTGAAGGTGGTCGAGTAAGTTTGCTCAATGTTGACTTCTGATCGAGCGGCAAACACTATGATTACGTGACGGAACAGGCGAACGAGAGAAAAAAAATTGAAGCCAAAACACGAATCAGACTACCCACGATGACCTACTCTCAAAAGCATTAGATAAAATGAAAACGGTTTACATACATAATATGAATACAAGACGCCCGCGTTTATATACACTAAGAAGACACACACACGCGCGCACACACGTACACAAAAAAAATTGAAACATTTAAAAAAATGCATGATGAATGGAAGATGAATGCAATTAATAAAAATACATATTTTACACGCGCGCACGCTAATGTCATACAAGTTACATGCATAAACGTCCTGAAGCTTCGTGAGCGCATTAACGCGCGCGTGAATTTGTATTTAAGGATGAGATGAACACACAGAGATATATGCGAATTATATATATATATTATATATGAAGAATATATATGAAAACCTGAAATAAAAACCACTTTTGATCGCAACGGTGAAAAGAAAAATTGACGATGATTCAAGAGCGCACGGTCTTTCCTAGAACGAGAGATATGGGGCCCATTCCGTTTTCGAGAACGGTACACGTTTCGTGGATTGGGAGGTTATTAATATATATGATAATGATAGAGGAATAATAAGAAATAAAAAAAAAAGAACTAAGTGATGCGAGAAAGAGCCGGAGAAATAGGGAAGGAGAGATAAGCTGACAGAATTTTGTCAATAAAGCGAAAGCGATATTTTTGTTCTTGAGAGGTACGCGAGATAAACGAGACAGAGAAAAATGATAAATAATGGGATAAAGGAGTGGGAGTATGAAGTTAACGCTAAGTGAATATTATTAATATTATTATAATTATTATTACTAATTATTATCAAATTGGTGGGAAACTATCAGGTCTTGGAAGAACAGAACGGTGAAATAATGAACGTAACGTGTTCAACCAACTAGATAGTGTTACACGACAGTTTATAATTATTGAATTATTATTGTACTGTTTCTTATTTTATTGTCATTAAAAACAAATTTACAAGAAAATTCACGTTTATCTTGTAATTTCAGGGATCGGGCCTTTCATTTTTTTTTTCTGTACTACGGAGTACACATTCTTTCATAGCATTGTTTATCACTTACGATCCGTCATACATACGTAATATGCACGATATGATTAATGTGGGCGTGCACGACAGAGAAAATAATTAAATGTCCGACAATATACGATCAGGGAGGTTACAAGTGATTAAAACGAAAAGAAATGACGGCGTTTTACTCGAACAGGGATTTTTTTTTCTTTTCCCGAAATATTGAACTCTCGTGAGGTCCGGAAGCTCTTTTGAAATTGAAGGTCACGTGAGGGTAGCGCGAATGAAAAAACAAATTATGTCACTGTCGTATCTCGTACCGTCGATCATAAGTACAGACCATTGATAATGTTTTCGTGTCTTAACAACGAGAGAAAACGTATTTTAGTTAAACAAAAGTGCTTTTTAGCAGCATCGGTTGCATAACTAGACAAGCGAAGCAGTACTGTGCCCAGAAGTTTCCGGCGGTAATTTTGAAATATGGAAAAGAAAAGGGTGGGAAGGGATGATGGAAGAGGAATGTTGGTCTGTATATGAAGGTGGAGGAATTGCTACTGAGAATTTATTTGAATGAAAAAGAAAAAAAAAACATGAAGGCAGTTAACATAAGCAAGAAGAGAAAGATGGACGCGTACTTGTAAAATATAAGGATCGGCAACGACCCCATTGTTATTATTATATATTATTAATTAAACTACTATTAATTACGATAATTATAAAATACCAATAAAACTAAGGGACACTGGGAGTGGCACAGGTAAAACGAGAGATAAAATAACGGCTAGTGGAATAAAGGATTTTAAAGAGGCGTGCAAAATATACAGTGTGACACTTAAGACGATATGATGCAAATAGATTTTTAAGAGGTTTTAGCATGCGCCGCCATTCGGAGACACATTCATATTTTTATATATTGCTGCGCCCGACATTTCGGTTACTTAAATCCAGTCGGCCGGTTTGATTTGTATCTGGTAATTCAGCGTAGTTTGCCATTAACGATCATGGCTTTGTCTAGTTTAGAAAAACGAAGAAACTGTCAAGAGAGAATGAGAAAGTACACACGCCGTTTCCTTGACAATTTTTCTCACTGTCATTCAGATAAATCTATTCACGCCCATTAAATTACCTTCATTAAAGCGACGAATGCCAAGTTGCATCTCCCTTTTCATGGTATAGTTCGATGAAAAATGGCACGAAGGTGATAATTAAAATTTTACAAAAAAAAAAAAAAAAGAACGAACGAACGAATCTTAAATCCAACGACCGTTATAAAATGTTGAAAAAATAAAAATTCGCATATCCGTGTAGTTCGTCACTTTGATTTTTGAAATATAATATATTTAAGATCGAGCAAAAAGAATCTTTTCGTCCATCAAAATGAGAAAAGAAAATCTTTTGCAAACCGGCTCGCAAATTGGTTACTGCTCATGGTATATCCGATCGATCAATCGGAATTCCAATGTTTCACGCTAATAAACTCAGCGTTGTACTACCAAAAAGGAAAGTGGTAAAGGCGAAGGAAAAAAAAACACCGCAATAGCACGCACGTCTGCCAATAGTAAAAGGTATATTGTCAGTACGTTATTTTAAACTAATGAATAATTCCCAAGACGAATGCCTCGCGCATTATCAAAATATACGATATATTTTGTTCTCTTCTTTTTTTTCCCCGTACGGCAACGGCACACGCTAATTGTAACACTAATTGCGGAGACTGTTTATGTGTAAAAAGATCAAGCCGATGCGAACACCGACGTAACCGGAAGCTATAAGGTCGTCTCTTTTAATGTTAACCTATAGGAGCTTCGCCATGACAATGACTATTTTTTATGTCCATTGAAGAGTTTTCAAACAATTTGCTCATTCGTCATTTATGCACTCACTCACTCATTACACCAAGTGTCATTCTCCGCTACTATCGCCTATCCCCCTTTCACCCTCACACTCTATCTTGTAAATTTGAAAAAAAAAGGAAAAGAGAAAATCATGAAACAAACCCTTGCATATCCACGTCTAGCCGTAGCAGCTACTCCTTCAGAGTTAACGAGTGCAGTACAAGTTTTCAGATATTAAATCACCTTGGCCATAATATTTTATAGTAGCTATTATATTAATTATATAATATACATATAGTTATATGTACTACTACTCGCGTCGAATTGAGGCAGCCTTATACGCTTAAATAATCTCGTATCTACACTATTCTTGCCTTTTTTATAAAAATGAGAAAGAGGAAAACAAGAAAAAGCTAATCAGACGTACACGGATTAATTAAAGTAATAAGAGAGATGAGAAACTATATTATTATTAATTAATATTATTATATAGAAGTGAAAAGAGAACGTGGTGGATAATGAAGAGAATAAATAATGTTCGTCATTTGCGAGGCGTTTCTTTGTCGTAAATGGGAGAAAGAGAAAAACTTAAAATTTGGATCACATTTTCATATTATCAATAAAGAATGTACATGGAGACGGTCTCATTTGATTGAGGATGCTCACTATTACCCTATTTTGATAATAAGTTTTTATCAAGCTTTCACTCTTTGCTACTATTAAGATTGTAATAGAGTTACATAATTCACGCTGCACTTGTTAGGTTATTTATTTTTTTCTTCTTCACTTGACAATGAAGTCCTGAATACACAATACGAGTCTCTTATGGCTTTGTTTGTTTCAATTGCTGCTTTGTACGTGTTACGTATTCGTTTTCATGAAGCTTTTTTTTTATGTACAGAAAGGTCATGTTTGTCAAGCGTTACAGTCGTTTACAAGTTTTACTATACTTTGTTCTGTTCACAAGAGCTAGTATTGTGCGTACAATTGAGTCGAGATATTCCAGAGTGGTACGTTTTCTCTGTGAATTATATTAATTTTGTACTGAAACGCAACGCAAATGACGTAAACAGTTTCCTATCTATACTTTTGATAATCGAGACGTTCATCGTGATCCCTTAGATGCAGTTAACTCACTTGCGTACGATATTTATGGATATTCAAAAAGATATTTCACCCTAACTGTTTCTTGAACAAGACTGATTAAGCGGTTGGATTAACTTATTATTTGGAGTATTTTTCCTCATTGTCAGAGCGATTGTGGAATCAAGAAAGAATATTAATCATCTACAAATTTGCAGACTTTTTCAATGCCGGAAGTAATGATAAACTAAACCGGATGTGACATTTATATATATAAACATATATTTGGTCATTATATCGTTTGGAGTGCATTCCGATATTCTCATCGAGTACTATGGCAACGTCGTTCTTGTTTGTTGGTGCACAAAAGAGAAATAACAATGGATATGAATAATTGCAGTCAGTTTCCGAGTATAACCTCCAGTGTACGTCATATACGTGGCGCGGTTGACATTATAATGAATTAGTACGTCTATCCGCCACTGTAAATGGTGGCAGCACAATCGAGACTACTAGGACAATAGGCTGTTCGCTCCGTGTGGAAAAGCTTCACCACTTGGCGGAGTCTCCTCAAGCGAAAATGACGGCCCACGACCAAATGCGAGCTATGCTCGACCAGCTGATGGGCACAGGACGAAATGGTGAGTGAATATTATTGTAATCTGTCATTAGTTTCATACGAGGTGTATGCTCGTAGCGAAATGCTTCGTTTCATAGCATAACAAGATGGTGACCCAAAGCGGTCATATCGACCGCGTTACCCCTGTCGTGTAGGATGCATTTTTTTTACATAGCTGACAATGCATTTTTTAATTGACTTTTAGGTGAGAATAACAAATTTCAAGTGAAATACTCCGACCCGAAGGTCTGCAAGAGCTTCCTGCTGGCGTGCTGTCCACATGAGATACTTTCATCGACAGTGAGTATACCGTAAACGCGAGTTTCCATTTTTAACAAGAATGACGCACCCTGGGCACTGGTGTAGCACTATTCGAATATTGTGTGCGTGTCGTCTGATTGGACGTGCCATAATGTTGCTATTTAATTCCTTGATATGAGTACATATATCAGTTTGATCGTTATTAATTATACTACATGCGCCTGGTTGCATGGTCGCTTGCAATTTGTGAAACAGTTTCCCCCTCATCAGATAAGAATTTCATAATTATTGTTTATACATACTGTAGGAGTCAGAATAATTGTACTAGCAAACACTTAACTTGTACAGAGATATCAGTGTACTTGTAAATTCCATTTTACATTGAAATTCAATCAACTATTAATTTTGGTTTGCTCTTTGACATATTTGCACTTTCTTGATCTATATTGCAACATTATAAGACCTTATATGCTAGTTGATGATTACGTGTTAGAGGAATTACCAGTGAAAAGTGGCCATGTAACTAGGTGCATCAGTTTCCTTTGATCGCGTTATTAAAAACAATTGTCAGGGTTTGCGTCAATAGTGTCTCATGCCGATTCATCACAGATAGTTGCTATTTACTTCATAAAAAGAAAGAGAATTGCATAAAAAATATTGGATATCTCATAATACAGACATCGGAAGGATAGATAAAGTGATCTTTTATAAAGAATTAACATCTCACATGTGTCGTTCTTGTGTTCTTCTATGCAAAGTATAAGCATTTTATAAAACATTGACTCAGAGCACCGTCTTAAGGTTTTTTTTTTAACCATTGAATGTAATGCAGGCAGTAACAGGTGTTTTCACAGTGCAAGATGCATATATAATTTAAGGAACGTACCTTATCTAGAGGATATTTGCTAATTGACATTAACAATTAGGCTCATCAGTAATGGTTATTAATAACATATGTGTCACAGTGAACGCGTATACTCTTGAATTTTCCATTTATCTCGTCCTACGAAATGACTATAAACACGCGAATATACTAATTACAAATATCCCGATGCGACTACAGTTCCAGTTCTATTTCCAGAGAGTCTGAAAAAAGCAATACCGAACCAATGTACAATATCGTTGCGAATATTGTCCAATTGTATTGTCCGTTGTACTTGTTCAATGACACACGCGCGTTACTGTAAGTACTGAAATCAAAAACGACGTACGTATTACAACACATCTACCATTGATCTATTATAAAAGTAATTAAAACACTAGGTGATTTATATTTTTATTGTGAAAACCGATGGAACTCGCCTCAGTCGCTCTACCCGCCGCGGTATATGGTGGCGGTTGGTGAGGCTGAGCGCCCGAAGCTAGAAAATTTATTTTCCCAGACCCCAAGAGGCCTGTTCTAGCGCGCTTTTGGTGAGTAGCGTCATGATGTTTCATGCAGACGATCTCTTTACTGTCGCTTATCGCTAATTTCGCCGATCATGGAGATAGGACTAAATTTCCCGTGAGTATGTGTGAAAACAGTAGTTTCCCTCATGGGAAGGATGTTACGTATTATGGATACAGGGGGAGAGAGAGAGAAAGTGAACGAGCGAATGTGAGTGATAGACAGAGAAAAAGAGAGAGTGAGTGAGAGAAAAATCAGTCGCTGATCTGTAAGTAATATCTTTAGACTCGTCAATTGCCAAAACTGTATCTTATTTTGTTTTTTCCACATGAGAAATTTAATCGATCCTTGTTAAAAATGTGTTGTTCTCAAGTCTAACATTTTCCTTTATCACTGATCATTTTATAGCAATCCATTCTTTTGTTTTTTCATAAATCTCAGGGAGCGCTGTCTACTTATTGGCTACGCTCTTGGTACACGATCTGCATGCATCCCAGATCAATCTGTATTCGTTTCATGAAGTCTCGTGAATCGAGTGATCATCCAGGGTAAGGTCGCGGATATCCTAGAGAAGTTGTCTGTCTTTCAAAATTATTGACCACCCTGTTTTCATTAATTTCGGTTAACTTGAGTCCTGCAATTTCTTTTTGGCAATTACGAGGGAAGCCATTGGTGCACTGTCAAGAGCGAGTGAGTGTGTGTATGAGAGAGAAAGAAAGAAAGAGTGGCAGAAATGGGGAGACAATATTAGGCGGAATTGCACGACGCGCCAGTGCTGTTACACAAAAAATACCTCACCGTTCGGATGTACGTATTAAAACTCGATTTCTAGATAATACAAAACATTACCCGTATCGAGAACACTGTGTCCGATACGCAATAGTGTAATGAAATCTTATGCTGTAAGTTGTCTCATAGAAATTGAACATGTAAACTTAAGGTGTGTGCTGATTGTAGCATCGTTGTCATCGCATTGTCGCGTCAGGCGGAGAGGTGTTGCCGCTCTGTAAGTGAAATCAACAAAATATCTATCTATAGACATTATTACGTTACTCTACCCAAAAAAAAAAAAAAAAAATTAACCAGAACAACCAACCACCAGCTCTCTTCGTGTAATGCATTTCTTATAGCGTGTCTAGCAGAGTTCCCATCAGGAAGAATAACCAAATTGTCATTTTGTAAGTCCATCTAAAAGTCATCTTTAAGTATTATCTAATTGCTTTGAGAAAAAAAGAAAAAATTAAGTATTGGTCAATGTATGTATTCTTGTTTTCTTTTTAAGTAATCATTGGAGAGATTATGAAAAAGGTCTAGGCTCTGAACTCCTACGATCGATCCTCGGTCCAACCGACTTTATAACCTTTCATAGAATACAATGTCGATAGTAATGTTTGTTATCTCGTGCCGCTGACAAGGACTTTGTACTTGTCATATGACATTCTACATTGATTGTGATATATCCCGGGTGGACGCTCTCGTACTTTAGGAGTGGTAAGGTGGTATGTATCGTCAAGGGGGTCGTCTAATTTTGGGTAATTTGTGAATCGCAGCGCATGGACCTGGGAGAATGCCCCCAGATTCACGATTTGGCCCTCCGGGCTGACTACGAGGCTGCTCAGAAGAAGAAGGACCACTTTTACGACATAGACGTGAGTATAGATTCATTGTTTGAGACTTGTCTGTTAATCAGGTTCACGTGAACGTTCATTCAAAATCTATGAAATTTATTTCTAGGCGATGGAGCATCTACAGAATTTTATTGCCGACTGCGACCGTCGCACTGAGCAGGCAAAGCAGCGCCTTGCAGAAACGCAGGAGGAGCTCAGCGCTGAGGTTGCTGCCAAAGCGAATAACGTGCATGTGCTCGCCGAGGAGATTGGCAAGAAGCTGGCCAAGGCCGAGCAGCTCGGCGAGGAAGGCTTTGTCGAGGAGTCCATGAAGCTGATGGGCGAGATCGACGAGCTGAGAAAGAAAAAGAACGAGGCTGAGCAAGAGTATCGCAACAGTATGCCGGCTTCGAGTTACCAACAGCAGAAGCTGCGCGTCTGCGAGGTCTGCAGCGCGTACCTTGGCATTCATGACAATGACAGACGGCTTGCTGATCATTTTGGTGGAAAGCTTCATCTGGGTTTCATCAAGATCAGGGAGAAGCTCGCGGAACTGGAGAAGACTGTTGAGGACAGGCGTAAGGAGAAACGCGAGACGATGATGGATAGGGACAGACAGCGGGACAGGGACAGGGACAGGGAAGACCGGGACAGGGATCGCGACAGGTCTGACAGAAATCGAGGTGGGCTTGGATACAGGGAGAGAGATCGTGATCGCGATCGCGATCGTGACCGTGACCGTGACCGTGATCGTAGAGACAGAGACAGAGATAGGGACCGGGACAGGAGGAGATCTCGGTCCAGGAGTCGCAGTCGTGGCAAAAGGTAATTATTTTTTTGCGATTTTAAACTGTCATTTTTTATCATTATACACGTCACAAGGATAATTAACACATGATGACATTTAAAGGCCGAGCTGAGGGTTTTGGCAGAAAGTTGAGCCTCCTTTGAGTTCACTCCTTTTTGTCGTTACTCCTTGATCATACTCGGGAAGCGGTTTTTTTACATTTTTTGTACTGACTATCTTTCGAGTTTCTTTATTATTTCGCGTCATTGCTTCGGCTTTTTGCTACAGAATACGCATTTACACTGTTTCAGATCCAGACGCTCGCGCAGCGGCAGTCGCGGTAGACGTTCACGTTCGAACCGCAGCGGGTCAAATGATCGCAAGAGATAAGGCTTGAGCAAATAAAAAATCTATAATGTAATCCAAATCCCCTTCGTCTCTCCACGTTACTAGGGACCCGATCCCGCCGCAATGACTGGTCCCGTTTCCTTCCCAGCTTGCGCAATGAACTAATTAACCGTGTTGATAAGTACAAGTACGCGAAGAAAACGAGAGTGCGTACGGATTGAATAAAAGGAAACTAAATAACGGGATTCTCGCGTGTCGAATTAAAAATTTTCTCGCGTATCATTATTGACTGTTTTGTTAGATGAATTGATTTGAATATGGTTATACAAAATGTGCAAATCCCAGTCGTCTGGGACTAGCTCGTGTAAATTGCCAATCGTTTTTAAGTAATACAACCATAGCAGAGGACGTGTTTGCCATTGACATTTCTATACTCTGGGACAGATGAATCGCGCGACACTTTGCTAAAGTCAGTTGGACGTTTATGATTCTATTAATTGAATTTTATCGTCACGGATTAACTTTGTCAACACTGCAATCTTAATGCCTAGATATAATTTATATAACAAAAAAAAATGGCACTATCGTCAAGTGTAAATAAGTTTAGCTTTCTCTTTGGTTATTCACTATCGAATCCCCTTTCATATTTATCATAAGACTAAGTAGTCCATGTAACTGTTGTATCAAAAAAAAACAATAAAAAAGCATATTTGAAAATATAAGTCAATGACTAATAAAGCATCACAAGTTGTATATACTTAATTGGTCGATTCAATTTTTATAATTAGAGTTCTTGGTCTAAGCTTTATTTTTATTACCGATATTGTCACAAATTATGACTCGACTATGTATCTAGTAATGCTGTTATATGCTATCAATATATTTTTAAAGAAAAATCAAGATATCATTAAATCCAATTACTCTTTTCTATTATAAAATATTTCCTGTTTCATGGAAATATTTTGTATATTATAAAATATAAGGGAATTAACATAGTGTGGAAGTTCAACATATAATACATATAATGAGTTTTTCATTTTCTTTTTATTGTCACCGCTTTACAGTGTCTGAAACAAGAAAAAATATATTACAGGAAACTGAACGTAACATAGATATTTGTAACGTTTTTTTTTCTTTTTCATGGAATTATTACATGATTTTTTATTGGGGTTGTCTCCCCAACGGCTACTAGTGCCCAAATGAATACAATCGAATTGCTTGGTTACAATTACGATCAATATCATTAGGGTGGATGGGATGCCAACCCCTACCAAGAGCCCGGAACTCACACTTCTCATTATAGACACTCTAAACGTCATATTACAGCCAAAGGAATAAAAATTTCATAAAATATTTTCATTTTCGCAAAGGCTACATCAGTCAATATGTATTCTAAGCGAGTAACTTTCATACCACTGACACGGTAATACAGAAAAGAGTAAGCAAAGGGCTCTGATACCCACCATCATTCTTCTGGAACTTCCAAATTTCCAGCGTTTATTTCGTTAATCAAATCATGAGGGTCTGATCCATCAACTGTGCATCCAACTGACTGACAGGTACCCAATATTTCTTTCACTGTACCACTCAACTGACGTGACATTGATCTTGGCCTCATGGACCGTGCAATGGTAATAATGTCATCAAAACTCAAGTTTCCAGAGTGTTTGATATTCTTCTGCTTCTTGCGGTCCCTAGGTGGTTCCTTCAGGGCTTTTATGATCAGCGAAGCTGCAGAGGGCACAACTGAAATGGTAGCCTGACGATTTTGAATCACCAACTGCACAGTGATTTTAAGACCCTTCCAGTCACTCGTAGCTTTGGCAATGTCGTCACCAACTTTTTTGGGAGACTAAACAAAAGATCATTCATAAATGAATTAGACAAAGCCACATGGTACCAACCAAACAGTATTGTGATAGCATCTTCAACACTGAAATATTCACAATATGTATGAAACTTACCAAACCGAGGGGACCAATTTTTGGAGCAAGAGACGAGGTTGCTCCGACTTCACCACCGACGCATCTCAAGAACACTGTAAATACAATATTGTTTGTAGAAATACGAAAAGCATGATACACTGTCAAGTCGATGCAATAGAACTTTTAATTTCTACCGTAAATTACACGGTAACGTCAAAATACCTTTCTTGACTTCATTCGGGTCAAACTTGGGAGGCATTGTGACTGCTTTAGTTTAATATCTGTACGAAATTAACCCGATGAAATTAGATTTCTTCTTGGAGAAACGGTCGCCACTACGCGGTCACCTCCAGCCACAATATAAAAGGAACGGAAGTGCGTCACCCGCCGAAACAAGACTAGTATATATATATAGAGAAAGGAAACTACAGTAGATTACAGATGGAGCCGTCGCTACTGCGTGCCTACAGCCCTTCTAGTTACGGCGTGTTCCGATATAAGCTTTCAGTACTGGCAGCACTGTTTCTTCGTTCCGTTATAGGCTTGCAGAGCACTGTAGCAGTGCCTAGTAACTTTGATGACGTCATGGATTGCCAAATGTTGTACAGTGAGCGGCATTAATGGTGTCTCAGAGAGTAGTTAGGGGAACAGTGGCGAAGTGAGAGTGGGGGCGGCAAGCAGCCTAGAAGCAAGCCAAGTCGGAGCATTGTGGGGGTAGCTTTTTCCCCTCGCTCTGGACGCCATTTATGTCACGAGTTGGAGCAGTCCCGTATAAGAGCGTCTTCCTCGCTTCTAGCGACGGTTTCCTATCAAGACTCTCTCACTCGTTCTTAGTGGTGGCTCTCCGAGTTTCTCTAGCTCGTATAGGAGCGTCTTGCTCACGTGCTGGCACCCTAAATATAAGAGTGTTTCACTCAAACCAATGGGCTCTCTGGCTTTCACCAAACCTTAGCTACCGTCAAGGACGTTGCACCAAACAGGCTATCAGTCGAAGCAAGAGTTGGGCGGTCAGGGCGTAGAGGGGGTAATCTTTCCCATGGCTCGGGACACCATTTCTGTCACAAGTCGGAGCAGTCTCGTATAAGAGCGTCCCTCTCACTCCTAGCGTCGGTTCCCTTTAAGAGACCCTCTCACTCGTTGTTATTTGATAGCGCAGCAACTCCCTGTAGCGCAGATAAAAGCATGTCGCTCAAAACAATGAGCTCACCCGCTTCCACCAATAACTCAGCCATTCCAGCCACCGGCAAGGAAGTTGCGTCGGTAGAACTGTGAATCCAAGCGACACGCTTTTATTGGCAGGGTGCGAGCGCATGAGCGAGACGCTCCTATACAAGCTAGAGAAACACGGAGAGCCACCGCTAAGAATGAGTTAGAGGGTCTTATAGGAAACCGTCGCTAGGAGCGAGGAAGACGCTTTTATACGGGACCAGGGGGTTGACACTCCAATAGGCTGTAATAAAGCATAGAATACTTATACAACCTACCGATCAGATGGCGTTGCTGCTTGTGCTAACAGTCTATAGCACGGAAGTACCGAGTCTCCAATAAGTGGTCTGTGCTCTAGTCTTTAGGTTTGTGAACTGTGAGACACATAACCTATAAAAAGACAGTGTAACTGTTTGTTTATAGTGCAATTGTAAATACTGTGTACAAGTAAATTAATAATTATGAGAATTGCTGTTGAAGGTTGTGCCCATGGGGAATTGGAAATTATATATGACTCTCTTCTCGAAGTACAAAAAGCAGATGGGAAGAAAATAGATTTACTTATTTGCTGCGGTGATTTTCAATCCACGAGAAATTTAACCGATCTGAAATGTATGGCTGTGCCTGACAAGTACAAAGATATGTGTACATTTTATAAGTAAGCGTAAAGAATTTATTTGTGAAATTTAAACAACCTAATATGATTTTAACGTTAGGGTTTATGGCTTATAATTTGGAGTTGATTGGTTGCGTACTCAAAGTAATAATGCGTTTGTTTATAGATATTATTCCGGTGAAAAAGTTGCACCTATATTGACCATTTTTGTTGGTGGTAATCATGAGGCATCTAATTATCTTCAAGAGTTACCTTATGGTGGTTGGGTTGCTCCGAATATTTACTATCTCGGATATGCCAGTGTTATTACGATAGGTGGTATTAGAATTGCTGGGGTTTCGGGTATTTTTAAAAGTCAGCACTGGATGCAAGGTCGTTACGAAAAACCGCCTTACAATAATGATACAATTAGAAGTGTTTATCATGTTAGAAATTTGGACGTATTCAGATTGAAACAGGTGAGGAATTATTTATTCTTATAAAAACTATAAATTTTCTAGTTTTGAATGTAGCTTAGCCCATAATACTAAATGAATGGATCAACGTCTTTTTCAGCTTACTGGCTCAATTGATATTTTTTTATCACATGATTGGCCAAGAGGCATAACAAAATATGGAGATGAAAAAGCCTTGTTGCGGAAGAAGCCATTTTTCAGGTACCTTAACTATTTCATGATATAATTAATAATATAATAGGATCAATTATAGTAAGTATAGATTTTGTATTACAGAAGTGACATCGAAAGTAAATGCCTTGGTAGTCAGCCAAATATGGAACTTCTGGAGCAACACTATCCTGCTTATTGGTTCGCAGCACATTTGCACTGTAAATTTGCAGCTTTAATCCCTGAAGATGGTGGCTCTCGTGTCACCAAATTTCTGGCTCTAGATAAATGCCTTCCAAAACGTAAATTTCTACAAGTCCTTGAAATTCAGCACGATGAAAATATCCCACTCAAGATATCTTATGATCTGGAATGGCTGACAATATTGTTTTTGAGCAATCATTTGTTAAGTATCAAATCGGGTACACATTATATGCCTGGGGAATATGGTAGTGGGCGATGGATCTATACGCCAACGGAAGAGGAAAAGCAGAAAGTTTTGAAGAAGTTCAATGGTGATTTGGAAGTCCCCCTAAATTTTACACAGACTGTTGAACCATATAATCCTGAGGCTCCCAAGGGTTTTGTGGAACCAGCGACTTTGCAAATCAACGAACAGACTACGGAGTTCTGCAATAAACTGGGTATCGATGATCCATTTGTATTACTACAGGTAATCAGTGGTCCCACGGAAAAGAAATATGACATGACCGAATCCATGGCAGTAGCCTCCTGTGACAACGTTATTGAATCCAGTGAAATTTTCTCTGAATCCGAGGATGAGGGTCTCTGTAATTCTACATTTGACGGTGATAACTCCAGTTATACTGTACACAGTCTCTCAGGAGCGACGTTACCGTCGCCAAAAAGGAATGTCGATAACTGTTACATAAATGAAGAAATTTCAAGTAAAGAAATCTCAGAGCCAAGTCTAGAAGAATCAGTGTCTACCACAAATATTGAGTCTCCTTGCGACAGTAAGTAATTACCAACATATTTGATAAGGACAGAACTGTATGAACAGAAAAAGTTCTTCATTTTCCTTTTTATCTTTTCAGGTACAACTCAAGGAACTCATATCGAACCAAATTGTAAGAAGTTTAAACGACGCAATCAATCAATATACTCAAGTCCACTTTAAGAATAATAAAGATATTTATATAAAAAAATGTCTTTCACTTTATAGATGATCCATGTCCTCCCTTGGTATACGATACACTGGATGACAAATTCACCTGAACGACTTTTGCCAGTTTTCGACTACACAAATAGGTTAACCCATATCACTGACTGTATCACACCGACTGGTATTTACTCCTATATAGAAGACTAAGAAAAATTTTAACAACAACACTTTGTAACATTCACACTATCAGAATATAATTGTTCGCAGATAACATACCAATTCAGTCATAACAGTAACATCACATCTAAATCGACTAATGTATGTAATATTAATATACACATACATGTAATGTTTGAACTCATTTTTTATTATTGCAGAAAAAGAAAATTGCTTATATTTACATATAATTTAGGCACGTTGAGACCTCCTAGTGACATACTTTATCTTTCTTATTTGAAATGAGCTAACGTATGTTGCGTACGTACGTCTTTATAAAGCAACGAACTACGTTTGATTATGATTTAATTAATAACAAAGCTTTCCCTGACTACAGCCCCGTGTGTCTCATAGCTAAGCGTGACACGTTAACCATTTTGTACTTAATAAACAACAGAATCGGTGTCTGTTCAAGGTCCAAAATCAATAATTAACAGATAAAAGGAGCAGCATAATCACCATTTTCTTTAGTGAATCTCAATTACATATCAAATAAATATAACTCCTTATCGAACGACAATAATGTATTCTGTGAGAATTTATAAAAGATCTCAAGATCCCTATCAAAGAACAAATAAAATAAAATCCTTATTACTCCCACAAATGGAAGATTTGTTTGGAAATCACCTATACTGAAAATGATAACAGCTGCTCCTTCTTCAGATTATTCAACGAATTAATTTATAAGTAATCCAATAACTCATCAATTGACCAGGAACACATTAAGATCACTTTCTTTTCTTTTAAATAAAACTATTGAGAATCCGCCAGAATACATAAGCCAGGATGAACATGGGAGTACATACTCTTATATACACCCAGTATATTCACCGGTATTATGCTTTCACCTAGTATCATCTAATATTAATTCCATTGCCCTGACAGAAATTCCACATATTATCCCTTATCGCGAGCCTTATCACTCTTCCTTACAAGAGTTCAGGCTAATACACATTACGTAATCGTCTTGCATATACATATTTTCTTTCTTTATTTCATTCGCTCATGATTGATCGTCAGATCTTAATCTTTTTTTTCCTTTTTAATATACACTGATACATTAATATATCATCGAGAGCTCCGCGCGATCTTTTCATCAACTTCTATAGAATAATAATGTAGTAGTAGTAGTACATAATCGTGGCAGTTTATTAGAATTGTAGTCCTTTTTTATTATTAATTATATCATTAATCAATTTTTTTTTATTCGAGGCAAATTTTATTCGGCGGTGAGAGGTTAGGGGCGGACGTGTTCGTGGGGTAGGGGGCGGGGGGGTCAGATATTTTGTATACCTCCATAAGTCTTACCGATTCGCTTATAATTTAAACAATGGAATAAATGAGCAATGTAAATTTATCGATCAAGAATTACCCTCGTCCCTCGACGAAACTCGAACATACGTGTGGATATGATCTTGAATTTTTTTGTATTACCATACAGTAATCTTTGTCTTTGCCTGTGTTTCATCTTAATGGGGTCCCTGTACTTTTGGGAACATTTTTTTTCGTTTCTTTTTTCCTCTTGCTTTAATAATATTTTCTCTTCATCCCGCGGAGCTTCGGCATCGATACCACTCCCATTCTTATTTATTATCTTTGCCCTATTCTCTCGTCAACAACATTATCACTCGTTCTTCTCCTTATAGTACAATAACACTTTTCGTCTTTTTGTTTTACTCTTTTTGTCCATTTTCTTCGTTTTCCTATAAATTTCCTACGTATAATTAAAATCGATGTAACAATTGAAAAGCAACAATTGGATATGTCTGTCTACAGAGGCGCGAAATCTCTCTCTTTCTTTTCCTCCTCGGAATATTTAATTCACTCTTTTAATTACCTTCATTCACCCTTCTTGCTTCCCTTCATCTCGTTCTTCGTTCTTTATTTTTCTTTTGTTTCAATTTCCTAAACTCTTATTACTCTTATCAGTCCTTTCTACAATATTTACAACGATCTCAAGAATTTCATATACATACTAGACACGTGACACAAACGACCAATGATTATCTCTAAAATTCGATACTCTGCCTAGCCTGTGACTTTATGTATTCTGTGTATCAATCATTATCCGAAATCAGTAATAGATTCGAAGGAACTCTTATATATTGAAATCCATAAAAGGAAGGCCCCTCGAAACGAGACTGATCTCGAACAATGACAATATCTGTGTATATATATATGTTTAGTGTATTTGTTCTGTATAATCAATGCTTATGGGTGTATCCACAATATGCTTTAACAGTAACAATCGAAGCATACATTATACACGACATCGCTCAACCTCAAGAAAAAAAATTTCTAATTGAACTCTAAGGACTCGTATTGGCTAGCCGAATTTCATTCTTCAATAACGGTACTCAAGCTTTTTACTCTCACCGTTGTATAAATCATAGCCATTTAAATATTCTATCTCGCGTGGAAAAAAAGAAATTGGAACGAAAATGTGATACTATGATAACGATGATATACACTCGCGGTAGATCATTATCATACATGGCTAATTCTTCAACACGTTCTCCGGTTAATTATTCATATTCAGTGCTTCTTATTGCTCGAGACAAAGCATCGCGTTATCCAAGATATCGATGTACGCGGGTAATTTGATTCGTTATTTTTAAATACGCGCCTGCACAGACACTAATAATAAATATTTATAACAATTTCGTTTCATCGTAAATACAATCAAGTGACTACAGTGATACCTTATGCGTGCAACATTGACTGCTCCTTCGGGATAAAATTAATGTGTTAAATGATCACTGATAATTTCGAATGAATTTACTAGAAATTAACTTAGAAAATAAGTAGAAGGAACGAACGATTTTGAAATATTATTGCGCAGGCTTGGGTACGTTTAATTATTTTTTAAACGCGTCGTTTACTAACGATACAAAATCATATGCAGAATATGTATTGTGCGGAAACAAAAGCGTAATTCGTACTTTGACAGCTAGATCAATTTTGTACGTTATGAAAAATTATCTCTGAAGCAGGCGAAAATGATGAGAGTGACTGATAATAAATAAATAAAAAAATACAGAAACAAAGTAAACAGTGATGCACGTATGTATAAAGAGACTATGTAGTAACTTTTGTATATAATCAGGAACTTTTGTTACAACTAATTGTGAAACGTTAATTATAACAGCTTCCCCTGCACGATCATCCCTTAATGCGTTAATCGGCGATCGCTAATTGTAAGTTCTATCGTCCCTTACGCGTAAGCGAGCAAATTACGTGGAGGAGCTACAGATAAAAAATACCGATTTACTTTCGTCTTTTAATGTTCGCGGGGGACATGATTTTACGCGCATGTGCATTTTACGACTTCGCACTACTCGGTCGGCATTGTAGAAACGTATTTCACAGAAATATATAGAGATCTTTAATTTTTCTTGTCACTTTCAAGAGAAACGTCAGCGATGCTGATTTTTTGAATTGGTTACACAACTTTTAATAGGTCTTCAAAAGCCCAACAAGGCTCATACGAATGACCGGAAAACAATTATTTAAAAAGAATCAAAGAGACTCGGTCGAGCCTTTTCTAATGACCGTACGAGCTTTTTGAAATGACTTTTTTTTTTAAATTCGCTCAAATCTCACGCGTAGCTTATTTAGATTTACGAGATACGAAGGGTGGTTAACGAACAAGCCGTATGCATTTCTTGTAATTGATTTAACGACACTCCAATGATCCGCGTTTGTTTCTCCTTTGTTGTCCTTGTATTATAATCAATTTACAGTAAAGTTCCGCGATGATGTTATTACGTCCGATAAAAGTCGTAGTAGCTTCCGGAAGTAATTCCTATCTACAACCTCTCGCCAGATCGACTCATGTAGGTTAAAAATAAATATAACAAAGATCCGTCGGAACGTCACTTCCGAAATCTCGTAAGCACTAGCCAATATAACAACAAATCCTGCGCTACGAAGAGAATCGATAGTCCTGGGGAAGACAATTTGAATCCGTACTCCTGTACGTCGAGCTACCGTGTACCGTCGACTTACTGCTAGCCGTAATCTTCTTCTTATCCTCAACCACGACGTTCTTCTTCACGAGCTTGTAAGGGCGCAAAGAGCATATGAGCATAGCGTCGCCATCTTTTCCCGTGTCGCTCGTACGCATCCTCGTTTTTCGTCCAGCCAGATCTTCGCACTCCTTATTTTTATTTTCCGTCACAGCCTCGTCCCGAGCGTGCTTTTCTTCTACTGTTAAAAAAAAATTATAAACAATCCCATAAAAAATATTCCAAAACATAACCCTGTATTTAAACATACAATGCGTAAATACATGTATTGAAAAAAAATATAGGGAATCATCAATACCCACCCTCGAGTACATCGTCGAATATCGACTTGGACAATTTAGCAACGCAATTCTTTCCTTCGCCGTGTTCACTCGTCGCGTAATGTCGATCTGCATTATTATTCGTACGAAATAAAGTCTCTAGCACCTGCCTCGATAAAAGAGGCGAGGCCGGCTGTCTTGTACGTCCGCCATTATTGTTCCCAATGGCGTTGCAGGTCGTAGTCTCGTTGTCGCACATACTCGTAGCTGATGTATTATCGGATATGAGCTTTTCCGTATCCGAATCTCGATCGTTGCTATAGTAATTATTGCTGCTTTCGGATTTCTTTAAGATGGACTTGGAGACACGCTGTCTTTCGATGAAAGGCATCGCCTCGCTGTCTATCGAGTCAGCTGACAATGACAGCTTACTGCCAACAGTAGTGCCTACGACATTGCATTAATTCAATAAATTCGTCGTCACTTTTTCGCAAATGACCCGCGTCAATTTTTAGGTTAACGAGACTCCGATCTCTTATGGTAAGGTAGAAATAATTTTAAAAAGAAAATGAAAAGTACCTGTGTAATGTCTGGAAGTGCTAAGAGTTCCGAACAGATGATGGTTTATCATACGAGTAGCCGACGCGAGGCTGTTCACTGGCGTAAAGTTCGACGGTCGCCCGCTGCCGTATTCATTATTGTTATCCGTTGCAGAATCCTGCTTTACCATCGTTGAAGCACCGGTGCCGCTCGTGGAGCCGTTGTGCTCGCTCACGAACTGGGCTCGGGGTTTTCCGCTCTGAAATTAATCAATAAGTCAGTCATTATGTTACTGCGATTATTAATAATTATTAGTATAACGAAGAAAGGATAAATCATTAATTCATGATACGTGGAAGGTATGCATATAGAGTGTTGATATACAGGGTGTCCCATTTGAAACAGGACGGTAGAATATCTGTTTAAGGAAGAACGAGACAGCAAAATGTGTCAGACGAAAGTTGTAGAGTACAAAGGGGGAAAGTCAGTGCAAATAGAATTTATGCTCCTACTATTTATGCGTCTATGTTTCAAGCATAAAGCCAATTTTTTTAAATGGCAACAACATTTTTCAACCCCTACAAGTTGTGCGTCTCATCGAGACGAATTCAGTCATACCCTATTTTATGATTTTTTTCATCGATTTTCTATAAAATATCACACGGAAACGGAACAAAATCTGACTATCTCCATTCAGGCCATTCAAATTCTTCGGTCGGTTATTGAAATTTTTCGACGCCAGCTGGAGTTGTGCCTTGCTAAAAATGATGGCAACATCGAACATCTCCTGAAATGAGTGTGCCCTGCACCTACAAAATCACACACGTGCCATATGTGAAATACAACATGTAGGAAAGCTTCAATAGAGATAATCACATTTGGTCCATTTCCGTGTGATATTTCATAGAAAATCGACGAAAAAAATCATTAAATACAGTATGGCTGAATTCGTCTCGATGAGACGCACAGCATGTAGGGGTTCAAAAATGTTGTTGCCATTTAAAAAAATTGGCTTTATGCTCGAAACATAGAAGCATAAATAGTAGGAGCATAAATTCTATTTGCACTGACTTTCCCCCTTTAAACAGATATTCAACCGTCCTGTTTCAAATGGGACACCCTGTATACGCATATGCATATAGCAAACATATTTAATCATCAATCACTCTGTTCATTAGCATCTTCATCCAGAGACCTTGGATAATAATTATTATTAAAAGTTGACCTTTTTCTTTTTTTGAAATTCAATAAAAAAAAAAGTTTTTCATAAAGCGTGGGTATGGTAATCTACAATGAGTTGTAAGCAGTTGAAAGTATTATAGTACACATAGTATAAGATTTGTGTCTGGTATTCGATGCGAATTTCTTATGGCCCATTTTATGACTGTTTTGTGAATGAATATATGGCTGTGTACGTAGTGGCTAATGGAGTATTCGTGATTGCTTAGTAATTCCTTGCATTTCGGGTCTGTTAATATTGGGTTATAAAGCCGAGCATAACGTTTATTGTCATCGTGCCAATTCGGCTTCCACTTTCTGTAACCATTCAGCCGTTAATACAGACGTGGGTAATAAACAATATATACGGCGATCCGAATAAAATGAATAGTCTTTTGGGAAAAGCTTCGTAGAGGCTCATGGATACTCTTGGAAGTATCTGTGTTGTGATTTGATTTGCAATTAATTTTTTGAACATCTTTTTTTCTATCTGGCTCTTTTCCATTAGTTCCATCTTGTCTCGTCCTCTTTCAATCGTAATGAAATGGGCTTTGTCGATCGACCAAGCTAACATCGGCAAAGACTTTTAAGCCGAAGCCACAAGCAGCAAAATAAAATCAGATCCGATCCGAGTCGTCAGAGCTTCGCATCGAAACTTGCGACTCAAAAGTGTGCTGACAATGAATCGACACCGGTTAGGTAATAAACGGTTTTTTTTTCTTTCTTTTTTTTTTACCTACCGTGGGAGCAAAAGGCGTACGAACAAGTCAAGAAATCCTTTGTAGTGCACAATGCTCAAACCTGTGGGCAGATTACAGTATCTTTGGAAGTACTTTATCAGGTACGCCGAAAAGACATGTCGAAGTCCTTGGGTTTATTATTTAAAGAGAATGACATGCTGAAGACATAATATGTCATCTTACAAGAACGAGGAAAAGAACATAATCGCGTGGTATCCCTTTTATTTCTAACGAAACTGCCAATATTTATCATTGCTCAATCGAGCCTTGTGTAAGATTCCGATCGGAGATAAGATCCAGATAATATATAAAAAAAAGAGAAATAGTCATCTGAAAGCTCCTGAAAAATAATGCTCAAGGCAATGCATCGTCTGGTCTATAATTATTTTTCGTTAGATTTAAAAAAATGAATTGACTACTTTACATTGACTTTCTATACGGTGATACCTAACCTCTAAGGCGTTATGATATGCTTTTATTTAATGACTGATTGTGCTACGTACTTGTTGGACCCGTGTTTTTCTGTGTTTAGGCAAAGCATTGTTGAGGCTGCCTCTACTGCCGCCATTAGGTGCATTGATATCCTTCAAAGATTCGAGACTCGGCGATGTGTCGTCGGTTACGTTATGTTGCTGCATCTCGCCCGAGGTTGACTTTTTCACGTGCAATCTGCCGTCCTCGTCTGAGTTGCTGCTGCATTTCTCAGTGCCTTCCAGAGGATTTACGTACAAATTACTGTCGGCCTCTTCCGTAAGGTCGCCTTGCGAATGAAACGGATGCGTCTGACAACTCGCGTAAGTATCAGAACTGTCGACGCTGCCACGTTCGTTGTAACTTTTGCCGTATGGCGCTGCCTCCACTGCCTGAACGGGCGACGTCTGAACTTCCTCGAAGCAACCTGCCTCCAGGATACTGCCACGGAGAGATCTCATCTCCTGGCAGACGGGATTTCGAAAGTCGCTGGTTGCTAAAGGCATAATATTTTCAGCATCCCTGTACTCTTTATATTCCTATAAAAGAAACGTTGAAACACAGATTGAGGTTATGTTTGCATCGTGGTGGTCGTGAATCTTGGATTCGATTTTTTTGATAAATATTCAAACCAATAAATTGGCTTGTGACTTTAATATTGAATAATGACATGTACTTTGGTATATGACGCGTGAGGAAAAGACAAAATTTCATTTTTTTTTTTTATACGCGTGAGCATTTAACGTTCGTATATGAAATCTTTAGGGCTACTTTCGGCAATACTTACTTAGTAGCATTATACAATTCGTAGTACGGCTGACAGATTGAATATCGAATAAGATTTACAGTGATGCAGAAAAAGAGTTATAGAAACTAACAAGTATCTCAAAAAACTATTAATTTTGTATCAAGTAATATATTTTTCAGACTTACATCCAATTTCAAGTATTTCTCGCTACGGTCATCGCACTCGCTAATTTTTTTAAAACTAATTAACGATAAAACATTTTTCACGATCGAATCGATACTGTTAACTACTATTGCTTTGTTCGATGCGACCGTTAACAATTATTTCAGTTCAAACGAGCATTCCAATTCATACAAGTATTGAGAGAATTCATTTGCACATTTGAAAGATAGACATTTTTAGATACTACTTGAAGGGAAGCTATTTACTTAATTTACATGAAATTACCAATTAACGTTATCTACTATCATTGTACTAGAGACAAGACAATTTTGTAAATAAAATATACAAATTTAGCGTGACGTATGTACACATCAAGTACTTACGTATGTAAGATGAAATAACAAGTACGAGTAAATCTATGTAAAAGTAATAAGATGTATGATGCACTATGTAATAGGTTAAAAGCTTGTGCATATATTATATATGTATACATATATATTGTAACGTATTTTCTTGACCCAACAATGATAGCGAAAATCCGAGAACTAACCTACGTCACCCTCGGCCGTCCACCCTTTACCCATGCATCCATAAACCAGGAGGACGTCAACCAATTCTTGTATCACCGGGAACTGGCAAGCTGGTATGACCTGGGAGTTGGGGTGGAGCAGTCTCAACTACGGCAAAACGAGAGCTCTGACGGAACCTATCAGAAGAGACGGTAGCTTAACGGATTCTCTCGATTTTTCGGGATGCGTAAAATCGAGAAACGTAATTTGATGCAAGAGCGGGAACGAACGGTCACGGAAATGAACGGCCGCTCAGGCTGCTAGGTTGAGGTAGGGTGGAAGGAAGCGTCGGGTAAATAGTGCCGGAAACAGAGATCAATTGATCGAGAACGTATCAGACCGAACCGCAGCTGTAAAATCGAAATTCATTTACGAATTAATAAATGGGAGTCCTCACCGGAGCGGGTTCAGCTGATCCGCAAAGGCCGAGAATCGCATCTAGGGAACACTTAGGAGGGCACTATAGTACAACACTGGATCTCCAGAACACACGCAGAAAATTGGTGGGATTTTCTGGATATTGCGAGAGCAACGCGAGAACTGCACAAGCGAGAACCTTCTAGACCGTAAGCAAAGCACGGCTAGAGGAACTATCAACAAATAGCCCGGGAGCGCGAGGCAGCTCGAGGCACCCCGATCGGTGTCCCGAGACAGACTGACTTTGACAATAGTCAAATTCGTGAACTAATAATTCTGATTGGTCGAGATCCTTATAGCCGCTAACTCTCATCCTTTCCCTCGAGTCGTCCCTTTAAACCAAACCGAGAGCGTTCCTTAACGAATCGGTACGTAACTCCTGGAGATCCTCCACGGCCGCTTCCCCAGGGCATCGGGCGACAGCTGAGCACCACATCCTCAACTCGGGTCAGCATGTTCCTCCTCTGCCCTTAACCCTACCAAAACTATGTCTCCGCCCGGTCTACAGCCCTTTGCCTCTCTCCAGCGGGGCGCCTGTACCTCAGCCGGACCCCCGCCGGTCCGTAGAGACGTCTCCGTCGGGTCCTCTCCTCTACCGGGCAACTCGGTACCTCGAGACTGTCTCTCCACGGCAGATTCGAGCATCTCGACCTCGACTGAACAATAACAAATCATCCGAGAGCATCGGCGTAACTGTACAAATCAATCCGAGAGCGTAGCTTCTGAGCAGGGTGGCGACTCGAAAGGAACCAGAAAGCAATTACATTATCTGAATCGGTAGTAGGAGTCGTCTCGTGACAGTGAGTCGAAAATCACGTCACAATATGCATATAATATATGATAGTCACGCAGAAAGTATAAATATGAAACGCATGGACCAGCGAATCAAGCATTGGATTTTTAAAAGCAGACATCCAAAATTTCACTCTTATTTTTATATATTTCGCAAAATAAATATGCATTTCTACTTGTACTGCTGTGGTTTCGCAGGACTCTGTGTACGTTTGTTCCTCTGTGGTGAAGTTCAAATTTCAGTAATCGCTATAACCACGACGTGACTATCGTGTGCAATAATTCGAAAAACATATACAGGGTGAACCACGGATCGTGATCAGTAGAGATTACTTTGTTATTAGCATTCCGATCGAAAATGTTTTTATCAGCTTTTGCATGGTTTCAAGAGAGCTTTAACGTGATAGTGAAAAATTACTGGTCAACTCTTTTTTTTTAAAGTTTTTTCAAGGTTACCTTGAATTTTTTGCAACTTAACATATAATTTTTTTACGCCTGTCTGTTAGAGGATTTCAAGACGAATCCGGCACATGTAAGGACATGAAATTTTTTCATCTATTTCGAAAGAAAATTTAAAAACTTAATATTCCTTATCACAAGGAGAATCACAGCTACGCCGTTATACGCATCC